GGAATTCAATTTATCAGTAGGATAAGAAAGCTAAGTAAATATTTTTGATGAAATAAAAATTATGAAAAAGTCATGAAAATAAAATATAGAATAGAATTCTTGTCAGTTTTGTGAAGTGACTAAAACGAGTGTTTTTGGTCGTCAAGTTTAATTTTTCGATAGCTACTTCTTAACTACTTCTTTTTAGTTTAAAAGCTACTTTTTCGCTACTTTTTTTAAAATTAATTATCCAGTGCAAGGTCTGCTATATAGGTAGATAAAGTCACGATAATACGCCTGGGTTGCATAAAAATATTTAAATTTTTCTAATTATATTCAATTGCAATAACGCTTCTATAATTAATTTTATAAAAAACTGTTTTTTCTTAAATATAAATTTCTGAAAAAAAAATTTTTTTTTAAATTTTCTCTCAGCGACAAACGGACAAATCGTCACTTCTAAACATCTCGGCGATTTGTTGCATAAATACGATATGAAATAGGCATTATCTATCTGTTCATATAATAATTTATTATCAAACACAGTATTGAGAGCGCGCGCACGAACGATAATAAATTATCCAGGCGTAATTTATATAGAACTACTGCCAAGTATAAGAATCGTTCGATTATCTAAGTTTTCTTAGTCGAAAACTCGCGGTAACTACAATATTCTGTATGAATGTTTGAAAGAAGGAGAGAGAGAGAGAGAGAGAGAGAGAGAGACTTTGGTTCCGGAATTTTAAATCTTGTGCAATTGGAGCAATTCTGCGCGCTAAAGGCGTATTTTCTTTCTCCTGTGGGAAAAATGACGCATCGCTCACCGATATTATACTTTACAATATACATCGAACCGATTCAATCGTCCTGACTTGATTTAATACTGCGGTTGATATAATTTTTTTTACGAAAGCAAACTAATGTGGAATTCATGTCAGTCCAAAAATAGATGTTGATTTTCTTTAATTCAGATATGTACATTTCTCTTTTTATGAAAAAAAAAATTGTCCCCTTGATTAATCAGATTTATCTCAATTATAACTTTTTGTCTATTAGATTAGCTTAAAATGAAAAACAGGACAGGTTCAATTAAATTTTCATAATTTTCTTCATTACTTTTAGAATATTATTAACATTTAGAAAATTAAAAAAAAAGTTTACAATGTTCAGTAGTCTCGATATAAAACATTAAAACTATTTTCCATTCACTAAAATAACTGTTTTTCATTATACGCTGTTGATTATATCTTCGAACAATTATTTTTTACATGTTTATTAATAAAAAAAAAAAAAAAAAACATCTAAACTAAAATTTCTGAATCCAAATAACCAAAACATCATAAATACAATTATTTTTTAATTTAAATTTCTATCATAGATTTTCTTCTACTGAAGTATATATGTACAACATTTTTGTATTTTGAATTTACTCTTTCTTTCTTCAACCTCTTCTCCTCGTCTGCTATAGTTCGAACTACCAAGCGCGCCACCTTCAATACAATCAAAAAGTGCGCGAAAATTTAAAATTTCGAAATTCTTTTATCCTACTTCAGTATTTAAATAATTAAAATATATTAAAATTTACGTATAATAATTATTAAAATCAACATTATTATGAATACTAATTATTTTTGTAAAATATAATTGCTCGTTACTTCATAATAATAAATTGGGTAATTTAAAAGAAAAAATTTTCGTCAAGTTATGAAACAGAGAAAAAATAAAGCAATCAAATGGTGACATCAAGAATGTAAGATTCGTATACATTTTATATGGAACGGAAGAAAAAGAGTGACAGTTTCCATAAACATGCAACTCTTATAATCTTGTGTCACACAGTAATTATATAATTAAGAAAAAAGTTTGTAATAATTCTTTCTTTCTTGATCACAAGTTTGTATTTCACCTCTCTAAGTATGATATAAAAATAAAATAACTAATAATAAATCAAAAATATAAAATAAATTTTATAAAAAAATTGAAAAAAACTGTACCTTCATAATTAATTAATATAATTAACATTACAAGTACCTAATTAATTATAATAGATTTAAATAAATTTTTGTAGTAAAAAATTGAAATGTAGTTATAATTTTTAATAATGCAATGAATAATTAATAATAATGGTAATAATAATAACGTAAATAATAATTTTTTTTTAGAGTTACAATACAGAAAAATACAACATTTACAAAAAAATAATAATAATAATAGTAAAAGTAGTAATAATAATCTAGAATACAATAAATTTTTTTTCCTAATTTTGTCATTCTATTTAGTAAAATTAGCAAAATTGTGAAAAAATTAAAATTAGGAGAAAAATTAAACTTCGAGTTTCAATTTCGAATATAACAATTATTATAAAGATGCAAATTTTCGATAATTAGATTGTGGTTGATAATAATTGTTACATTCGTTCCCGTTGTTAAACAAAAGCAATCGATAAATTTGTTATTCAGAATAGAAACTTTTACTGGTGGGTATTTATTTCTTGTGAAAGGACCTTTTAGTATAATGACCGTTTCGTGAAAAACTAATTTTTTTAAATTAAATTCTTTTTTCTGAGATATATATTTTATATATTTACATATATAGTATAAAAAATCAATTTTTGTAATTGAATGGGATTATAAAAAGAAAGTAAAAATTAAAAAGAACGGAAAAAAATAAGAAGGAATGGAAAAAAATATAATTTTTTAAGTATATACATCTACTTGGGTTTGAATTTTAAATCATCAGTGCAGTTAAAATTTTTTAGTAATTGTTTCATATTTGTAAAATTTTACCCACTTTCATTGGCATTTCTTTGTATATTACGACTGCGTGTTCTCTATTTTGAAAAATTTGCCAATTATTTTATGCTCAATTTTCAATTTCCTGCGCGAGTTGAATTACTTCTTTTAGAAGAGAATTATAATTTATTCTATTTTTTTATTCACTTTCACCGTCTATGAGAAGGAATCATGGGAAAGTGTCATTACAAAACAATGCGATCTTATTGTAGATCAAGAGGTCGCCATAAGAACCTTAACAAGGTTACCTCAAAGGTCATTTTACCATTTCCTCTATAAACAATCCCATCAGGGATTAAATTATTCACGAAATCGAAAGCTGATCCATATTTGATAGTCGAAAATGTCAATTTTATTTTTATATATATTATATTTTTTATATATACATTATTATATAATTTTACAAAAATTTCCATATCAATTTATTTATTTTTTATTTATTTTATTATTCATTTACTTTCTTATGGAAGACATTCATTGGAATTTTAATATATATAATTCTTTTAACTAAACACCATACAATATATTTATTACAATTTACAGATATAGTGCAGTTAGGAGAAAAAATTTTTATTTCTATTTAATCGTCAATTTTCACACCATTTCTAATCCATAAAAAGGAAAAATTTTCACCTCGTAAAATATGTTTTGAAATTGTCATTAAATCCTAATACAATCGATCACAAAAGAATAATTTTATTAAAAATTCAACAAGTGAAAAAAAAATTTACTGCTCACGTATAATTTGAAGTGAAATTTTTCCCTCTCGATACATGAGAGGAAATTAAATTCAAATAAAAAATGGGAAAATTTTTTTTTATATTTAAAATTAAATATAATTAGTGTAAATTATTAAATAAAGGAAAATAATATTTTACAATAAGACAAAAAGTGTGAGAGTTAAATATACAAGGAAGTCAATTTTTTTTTTTTAAATTTAAAATACAAAACAGGGAAACAAATCAAAAGAAAGTAAATAATAAAAAATGGTACTATAGAAATAATATAATGAAAGAAGTAATCGGGGAAAAATAGTAAAATAAAGGTAACAAAAAATAATAAAATGAATAAAAGATTGTAAATAGTGAAACATAAACAATTGTGGACAACAAAGAAGCCGAGATTAAAATGATTCGTGGTACATTATTCGAGGGAACTTTCTATAAAAGTTAGCTACTTGTAATAAAAAATAAATAATTAATTAGTAGACAATAATGATTTGCGCAATAATGATTTCATAGACTATATAATAGGCACTAAGCGCACGCAAAATTGACGTAGTTAATGTGTCATACTTTCACTGAATTACATAAAAAAATTAATTTTTTCCCCTTAATAGGGTAACGGGTACAGTGACCGACACCCCAAATTAAAAATCGCAACAAATATAAAACAAAACATTATTAATGTATATTTTAAAAATATTAATATTATAAAATACATTATGTGGAAGCTATTAAAGTAGTAACAATATTTAATTTATTTTTCACAACATTTTACTTTATGTGAAGATAACCTCAAAAAGTGAATTTTGAGGTTATCTCTATAGAACTTGAAATTTTATCCGAAATATAAACGAAATTAATATTGCTGCTATTTTAATAGCTTTCAAACATTTCATTTTATAATATTAACATTTTTTAAATATACATTAATAATGTTTTGTTTTATATTTATTGCGATTTTTAATTTCGGGTATCGTTCACTGTGTACCGTTACCCTAATTCAATTTTCTTCTTTGATTTCTGTCATTTTTTTCATGTTCGAGACTTTTATCCCGGGGTGTCATTTTTCAATGAGGGAAAAGTATATTACAAACGGAAATTATAAAAACTTCGTTCCAATTTGAAAACTAATAATAGTTTTCTAATTTTCAATCTGATGGCGATCGGGACTGTAATGATCTTTACAGGCCTCGCCCTCTGTCTGCTATGCGGAACTGCTCAGCGCGCCATCTTCAACTAAGCGGAAGAGCGCGAAAATTTGATTCATTTCCAAAGCACATGGGTCCATCTCCCATTAGATTATATTCGAAATATTAATATTATTAAATTCGAAAATATTAACAATACTTCGTAGATTTGTCGTAATTTTGAAATATCTTTAAGGGATTTTAATTTAAATTTTTAATAAAATTTAGAATTTTAATTTTTATAAAGTGTAGAAAAATTTGACGAATATTTTCAAAAATATTAATGCAATCGATACAGAACTTTTTATTTGTTACAGAAAAACATGAATCGGCCACATTTATGGGGCGCAATTTTTTTAGCGCTCCTGCAATTCACAACATCGGACAAAATTCAGAGCACTGCTACCAAATCCAAAGGTAAAAAATAATTTTATTTAAAAATTTAAATTAAAATTTTTTAACTTATTCAGTTTTAAATAAAACTTAATGTTAATAAAATTATGAATAAACTTATTAATAAAATTATGAATAAACTTATTAATAAACTTATTAATAAAATTATTAATAAAGTTATTAATAAAATTATAAATAAAATTATTAATAAAATTATAAATAAAATTATTAATAAAATTATATATAAAATTATTAATAAAATTATAAATGAAATTATTAATAAAATTATAAATAAAATTATTATTAAAATTATTAATAAAATATATTATTTACCTTTACTCGGAAGAATATTTTAACATTTGTAAAACCAGGAATAAAATAAATATTTTTTATTTAAAAATTCTAGTTATGAAACTTGTGAGTAGAGAAGATCTTGATGTAGTCAGACATTTTCAAAGCGTCCGACACTCCGACTGAAGTAAATAACCTGCTTTACAAATCACTAATAGATACATTATTGGCATTCCGGAATGGTTTTTTTTTAAAAAATAAATTTACATCTTAATTAAAATAATTTCTAATTCTTTCATAACGCGCATATAATAAAATTACACAAAACATTAAATTTCTTTATAAATATAAATAGACATGTGTATGTGTAAATTTATGTTTCGATTTTATTTCAGTGAAAGCAGACATTTATTTAAAGTTAATGAAAATCGTATTTAGCGTGAGAAACGCAAACAAGGAATTATGTGAATAATATATATATATTGATACGATAACAGATCGTAAAATTATAATTATTGTTTTTTAACGATTTATCCACACTTCTTAAATGATTATTATTTTTCCTTACTTACTTATACACCTAATTGTAAGAGGTAGAAAAACAGGAAACGACTTTTTAAAAATTTATTATTTACTTTACTAATTTAGTGTTTTAAGTTTTTGGCAATCATCAAATCCTGGACCATGGAAAAATTGAGCCTCCGGAAAGTATAACCACACATAAAATTCTGACCGCCATGCTAATTTATTGGGCGTCAGAATTTTATGTGTTGTTATACTTTCCGGAGGCTCAATTCTTTTTGTCAAAAAAAGTCAAAAAGAAGGAGAAAAATAAAAATTCAGATTTCGAGTATAAAACAATTTGAATGCTTTATATTATCGTAGGAAGAAATATTAAATTTTAGTTCTCTATCCCGAAAAGGATAGCGCAAAATTTGAATTTGCTGCGATGTCTGCATAATAATCGCAAAAATTTTTGTTTCATATTGAACTAAATTCTTCAGGTATTATACAAAAACAAAGATCTATCTTATACGAACTTTTACACAATCTCATTTGCATATATTGCAAACTTTATCTTGATCGAAGTGAAATAATTGCACCTACCCTCGCGATGTCTTGTATTTACATGTATATGTCTGCCCTCGAAGCGCTCGCAAGATATCGTGGAATCGATATCTTAAGAGAGAATACAGATCTGGATGTATAAAACACACTCTCCCATCCATTTTAGTCTGTAGAAAAATAGGAAAGAATTTTTTTTTTTTTTTTTGATCTTGTTTAAATATCTTTACTTGATAGCGAGAATCAAAGTGGGAAAAACCTGGACAGCGTGATATCTTGTGTAACAGGTGGGAGTTAATGGCGAAGGCTGTTTAAACATACGTGTGTATAAATATATATACAATACATACACCGAACGCGCGGACGGCCAAATGAATGTGATTTTCTCATTTTATAATGTTGTGCGCCAATAAACATTCTAAAATCCCAGCGCCTTTTGTACACGCACGAACAATCATTGACCGTTAACTCCAACGTACTTTAGTGTAACAGTGGTCTCAAAAATAAACGATTATAGATACTCAAATGCAAATAGTTGTCATTAAAAAAAAATTACTCGAAAATTTAAGAATTTTGCAAAAAAAAAAAAAAAATTAGATTACGCAAAAAAAGTGGTCATAATTATTTTAAAAAGTAAATATGCTCCTTTTTTGCCGAGTTATGCAAATAACGATTCATTTTACATGCTTTTCAAATGTTTCAGCATGTAATATTAAATTCTATAATCATTGTACTTTAACTCTACTTTAAAATCACTTGAAAATTGTTTTGCATTATCTATATTCTAGACTTTTATCCCGGGGTGTCATTTTTCAATGAGGGAAAAGTATATTACAAACGGAAATTATAAAAACTTCGTTCCAATTTGAAAACTAATAATAGTTTTCTAATTTTCAATCTGATGGCGATCGGGACTGTAATGATCTTTACAGGCCTCGCCCTCTGTCTGCTATGCGGAACTGCCCAGCGCGCCATCTTCAACTAAGCGGAAGAGCGCGAAAATTTGATTTAGTTCCAAAGCACATGGGTCTGTCTACAATTAAAACCTATTAGGAAATTTTCCTGTCATTTACCTATGAACAATTTAAAAAAAAATTTTAATAACAAAAAATAAAAATTAACTACATTATAATTAATAGAAAAAATTGACATTGAAATACAAATAGGTAACTTCGTTAAAAACAATCACTAAACACTGGGGAATTTCCAAAGAGAAAAATTTAATGAAAAAAATTATTATTAACCAACGTTAGTTAATCACTGACAAGAAAAATTTAACAACTTATTTTTATCCACGTAAAACAATATTTTAAATACAGGGAAAAAAATTACAAGTTTAGAAAATCTTTTGCTTGTGGTTATAATTACATGAAACTTGACACTTAACCCCTTACGTTCACTCATTTTTTTGTTCGTTTATTTTGACAACAAAAATAATAAAACATTTTAAATATATTACCTGTAGTAAGAAAATTTTAACATTGATTTTTTAGTTTAATCGTCTCATTCTTCGGCATGCGATTCGTAAGTGAAAGGAAAGTAAACAAATGGTAATATATATATGAAAAAAAAAGTATTTCTATATAGGTACGAAAAGATAAATTGGAGGCTGAAGTTTTAATAATGAGATAAAAGTTCCCTTTACATGTATAATTAAGTAATATAACAATTATGTTTTGTATTTGTTAAAGTAATTATAAACTTGTATTTTATTTATTATTGCATTGGAAATTTGTAAATGAGAATAGGATATGTCACATTTTGTAACAGGTAGAGTAGAGAGATATATATATTGTTTATATTATGGAAGTGAAAGGGTTCTTCGTGGTGCCGTTCCTATATGTTATTCTTTTGTGCAAAAACCAATTAAATGGCATTTATTCACTAATGCCAGAGTGGAGAATCACAAAATGTACAACACGTACGTTATATTGACATATAGTGTGAATCTGATTTCGAGATCGACGTTTTTCAATTCAGTTTTTTAACGTCACGATTAATTTACATTCCGTTTGTTTGTACGTGTAACCTTTTGCTACCACTCTATCATTTCTTGGAAATGAGATGTTGATCCTTCTCTCATCTTCTTCTTTTTCTCCTCTCCTTCTTCTTACTAATCTTATTTTTCTTCTTCTTCTCTCCTTCTTCTTGTGGCACTACTTCTGTCTTCATTTGTAAAAAATACTTCGAGTAGAACTGTATTGTGGATTAATGGATTATATAAATAATAAAGCAAAGGAAGGATATGTTAGATCTGGAAAATTGATTATATTACCTTCAACATTTACTAGAGGACAATTTAGTTGTCAACCATTTTTTATGGATGCTGTGCGATTAGTTCAAGAATTTGGAAAACGACATTCATAATAAGATTAATCAGAAATGTTTTAATACTTTAAAGCAACAAACTTTTATGGATGCTATACGATTAGTTCAAGACTTTAGAGAATTAAATTTAAAATAAATCAAAAATGTTTTATCTCTGAAAGCAACAATCTTTTATGGATGCTATGCGATTAGTTCAAGAATTTGGAAGACGAAATTCATGATAAAATTAATCAGAAATGTTTGAATGCTGTAAAGCAACAGTCTTTTATGGATGCTATGCGATTAGTTCAAGAATTTAGAGAATTAAATTGAAAAATAAATCACAAATGTTTAAATGCTGTAAAGCAACAAACTTTTATGGATGCTATGCGATTAGTTCAAGAATTTGGAAGACGACATTCAGATTCATGATAAAATTAATCAGAAATGTTTAAGCAACAAACCTTTATGGATGCTATGCGATTAGTTCAAGAATCTGTAAAACGAGATACAAAATTAGAAAAATTCATAAATTTTCTCCGAAAAACCAGACTGAAAATACAATACCCCAGTGGGTTAGTTTTCGATTCAGAAAAATAGTTATTATAAACAGGAATTATAAAGACATTTATCTAATTTTATATTCCTTATCTACTCCTACGAATTCTGTTAAATACAATAAATTTTTCTATTTTCAGTTAATAAGAGGGGTTTGAGTTCGTTTTCGCCAAATTATGGATTCACATCGTTTTTCGGTCAATCGACACCCAACGATTTTTTTGGATTCTCAAAACCTTCGCTATTCTTCACAAATCCGCCAACAGGTGGTTTGGAAATTTCATATCCATTTAAATCCTCAAAACCAAGGTGAGTTCAAAAAAAATTATTCTTCTTAAAATATAATAACAACAATTATTCTTAATTATAGACATAAAATTAATTTTACTTATTATTCTGTTTTCGTTTCACGTCAACTTTCAAAAATAAGATCTTTATTTCGTAATAATCATCGTCTTATCGCGATGGAGATTCATATACTCTTATTTTTAAACAGCATTTTAAAGACGTCACTCAAACATAATATGCGCAAAATTTGAGATTCGCTTAATTCCCAAAGTCATCTTGTCTTACAAACGTCAATCTTGAAAACAAAATGAGAATAAGAATTAAAGTAATAAATGCAAAAAAAAAAGTATACAAATGTTACTCAAGATTGGTGAACATAAAAGAATCTGTTACGTACTTTTCGTGAATCGTAAATCAACCTGCGGATTTTGAATACAATATTGCTATCGTGTTTTATATTGTTCGCTGACATGCTCGCGAATATTATCATAATGAATCATCACAGTTTCCACTTATACAGTTGTGAAAGAGCGGAACTACATAATACTTATAGAATAGACACGAAAGGTGTGCACGAGATATTATATTTTAAACCTTGAAAATATAAATATTCGCCCAACAAAAACGACTGTACAAGATTAATGTTAAATAAATTATTATACACCATGCAATAGAGCGCATTATGTATGTTACAATATATTATGAATGACGTTTGTTTATTGGGTGATTGTATTTTGTAAAAGGCTAATAGGTAACTATACTAAAGTGACCGTAATTATTAAAGAAAAGAAACAAAACTAATAATAATTTCATTTGACCTTTATTTTAGAATATTTACAACATTTTAAATAATCTTTCTAAATCTATTTTTTACACTGGGGGGGGGGGGGGGAATAATAAAAGAATTAGAAAATTTCATAATTGAAAATAGAAAATTAATTACTAAATCGTTTTTTTTAGTTTTTTTCCATCCGGTTTTCAACCGATAACACCTTCACCACCAACAACACCATCACCGGCTGCGCAATTCCGTTGCGGGGACTTTTTTCCAAATCAGTGTCCAGCATCGAGATATCGAACTTACGATGGATCATGTAATAATCAACATCAGCCAACTTGGGGAATGGCAAATACACGATATGGCCGTCTACTTCCTGCAGATTATGCTGACGGTAAATATGTTAACAAGATTTTAATAAAATTACCAATATTAAGAAAAAAAAGCTTAACAGGAATTCCATACACTAGTGCCCTAGTTTTCGATATGCGAAAATAATATTTACAAACGGGAATTATAAAGACAAATAGTAAATTTGAAAACTGTCTGCAATGTTAATTTTCTATTAATGAAATTGTTTTTTTTAATTATTATGGAACTTGAAAAATTCTATTATTAACTATGTTCGCTACGAAGTGCTTCCTGCAACATTACTACGTAGACTGGAAAAAAGTAGATACTAGCAAAAGCGAGCAAAAGTTTAATATTTGTTTTGAAAAAAGTTCACCGATTTGCAGGAAGTTATAGGGACATTATAAAACATTTATAAAATATTTATAAGATTAATGTTGTTTTTAGTATTGTAATTCTTCGTACAGTTTTCCATGTATCGTTTTTCATATCCATGTTCAGCATTAGAATAACTTCAATAATATTTACTGAATTTTTTTGTAGGAGAAAGTTTAAAATGTATTCGTTTAGAGGGAAAAGACCTTCAGATTAATGGATTATATAAATAATAAAGCAAAAGAAGAAAATGTTCGATCAGGAAAGTTGATTATATTACCTTCAATATTTACTGGGAAACAAACGTATTTATCAATAATCTTTTATGAATGCCATGCTATTAGTTCAAGAACTCCTGAAAAGTAGACAATATCAAATAATTTTAAAATGCACTTGAATTTTAAAATTAGCTATTTTTTAGAAACGTTAAAAATAAAACAGCGTATTCTTTATATTAAAAATGAGAAAACAAAATTTTCGCAACTGAAGGGTTGTAACAAATATGTTGCAACCTAAAATAGGAAACTGGATATGCTATAACATATTTTTCTAGGACACGTTTCTAAAACAAAAAATCCTTCCTAAATTCGAAATTATTTATTGAGAAACGATCGACGTGGTAAGAGCAAATCGTGACTTGTTCGGTTACAGGTTTAAATGCTACACGAAAGTTCATACCACCTATGGATACAAGGATTACGTTCGGTGCTGTACTTTTAATCGAGATAAAAGAGTTTCGATTCATTTTTTATTTCTACTACCCATATCAAAACTCGCGACACACTCTCAAATGTCATACAACGTTAAAATGTTTATGACATAAATTAAATGCGGAGAAAATTTGCATTACATTTTCACTTTTACCGCTCTATTTCAATTAGTATGAGAAATTTTTTCATATTTCTGAAATTTACATATTAGACTATTTAGATATAAGATAATTAGAGCATTTATGGTTTAAAATATAAATATGAGGTGAAAGCCTTTCTTTACATTCATAGTTCGAAATTAAACTACCATTGTTATAGTTGCGTTCTTGTTGTCCGTAAAATTATATTTAAAAGTAGATGAAAAATGGTGCATTCAGTTTATCGGTGAATTGGTTTTCTTAAGTCCCTGTCGGGGGAAAATAAGTGCAAAATAATATACGTAGAAATTGGAATTATTTAGAGAAGCATAAATTCTGATGGACATCGATAACGCGGTGTATTTAATTAAAGTGTGTATAATTATAAGGAAGTTATTAGTTAAAGTGAGGAAATTTCCGTATATCATATGTTGATTAATTTTAACACAAAATAGAATAATGTGAATTTGAAATATTTTTTTTCCTTTTATAATCACGCAGATGTGCATGCACCCAGAGCAGCAGGAAGTGGGAATCCTCTACCACTTTCAAGAAGTCTCAGCTACATCCTCTCGCCTGACATTGAAATTCTCGATAGGAAATGGACCCTCGCTGCTATGCAGTACGGGCAGATAATCACTCACGACATGGCCATGATAGACGGAAGCACGCAGTCAAGTAAGTTTTTTTTTTGCTAAATACTTTGTGCAAAAGTTACATTTTACTATTACAAACGGAAGTTATAGGGACAAATAGTCATCATCTGAAAATTAATAAAATTAATTTTTAGCATTTTATTTAGTCAAATTTTCGGGGATTAGAATTTGCATAATTAGGGATGGTAATAATTTTGCATTTTTCTTATGACAGCTGCTCATCCAACGCAATGTTGCACAAATGACGGCCAATTGATTCCTGAGGCACTCGACAGTCCGTTATGTTTTCCAATTATTGTGCCAAACAAAGATCCTGTTTATAGCGGAAGGAAGTGTATGAATTTCGTCCGTAGTAATACTGACCTTGATCGCGGTTGCTCGTCTCAATATGAACCCGCAGAACAGGTTTGTAGCTCCCTTGAATTCAATATACTGTTGTACGGGAGATAATATTCATTCATTCATTGAAATATTACATCATCCTTGTATGTTAGTTCAAAAACGTATTCAAATGATAATAATCGAAATCAATAATATACGCACAATTACCACTAATTGGAATTAATTTCAATCCACGAACTAATATTTTATTTGCTCGATTAAGTTTACAATCGATAAATACGTCGGAAGCGGATATTGTTACTTTCCTGCATACCTTGATTTCTTAGATAAATAATGTGGCACTGTCAATTGTTGTAGATTTTTTTGTAAATTCTGAAAAAATTCTCGTGGACGGTGTCCGGTACTCAAATCTATTCACTCTGACGAATTTTTTAAATGTCCCCTAAATCTAGAGTATCACATTCTCGATCTCATCATCATTAAGGACTGTAGCACAACTAATTAACGGATTACCTGTCGCAGACGTAACAAGGGATTTTAATTTATCACTATAATTAATCGCGTGGGTACGACTCACTTTTATGACATAATGACAGAAGTTTTTAGTATCGCGAGGTGCCTTTTCTTCTGCGACCTATGACTTTCAGAAAAGATTACTTCATTTTGAGTCCTGACGGATTTTGGAAAAATTGAGTATAGTTAAATTTTAATATAACAATACAATTGTCGTTCTATATAATTATTTGATAAAATATTAGCTTTTCATTGTTCCTAAAAACAATAAGAAATATGACCGGATTTTCTAGTAACCAAAAAAATTGTGTCGTTATGTTTCGTGACCTAACAAGATTAATTTTTAATTTCGCGAGTTGCCTTTTCTTCTGCGACCTATGACTTTCAAATTCACTTACTTCAGTTTGAGTCCAAGCGGATTTAGGAAAAATTAAGTAGTTAAATAATTGTCGTTCTTCATAATCATTCCTTAAAATCTTAGCTTCCCATTGATTCCAAAACAATAATTTAATATGTCCGGGATTTCTGGTAACCACAAAAATTGTGTCGTTGTGTTTTGGGACATAATAAAAAAAATTTTTAATTTTCTGAGATGCCGTTTCTTCTGCGATATATGACTTTCAAATTACCTTACTCGATTTTGAGTCCTGGCGAATTTAGGAAAAATTGAGTAATAATTGTCGTTCTACAAGATCATTCCTTAAAATCTTAGCTTTTCATTGCTTCCAAGAACCATAAGAAATATGATCGGGTTTTTGAGTAACCAAAAAAATTATCTCGTTATGTTTCGTGGCCTGACGAGATTAATTTTTAGTTTCGCGAGTTGCCTTTTCTTCTGCGACCTATGACTTTCAAATTACCTTACGCGATCTTAAGTCCTAGCGGATTTAGGAAAAATTGAGTAATTAAATAATTGTCGTTCTACATAATTAATCCTTAAAATCTTAGCTTTCAATTGATCCTAAGAGCAATAAGAAATACTACCGAGTTTTTATATAACTAAAAACATAGTGCGAGCCTACTTGAAGAAAAAAATATGCGTGCTGCAGGGAAGTGTTTATTCGTATCTACAATTTCCTCCACTAATGTACATTCCCATTTGACTAGATACCACCATTAATCTATAATCGGAAATTGCTAATTTCGTATAATTCGATTTGATAATTTTCTAAAAGGAAAACTACTTTAACTAGTACTAAATTGTATACCCTTCTTAGTTAACAGTTGTTTCACATTATATGGATCTTTCACTTGTCTATGGATCAAGTAATGATGTCGCAGCAAGTTTGCGAGCAGGTGTAGGTGGTCGTCTAGTTGTCGAAGTTCGAGGAAATCGAGAGTGGTTGCCGTCTGCTCAGAATAGAAGCGCTTGTCATGAGGGAGCACAAGTTTGCTACAGATCTGGTAAGAATTTCATACTCTCAAGATTTTTAAATTGAACTTTTTGGAAAAATTTTTCCACAGCTTAAATAATTATTCTTAAAATAATTATTGCCAAAAAAAATTAAAATATAAACAAGTTAAATTTAATTGTCTACTCGGAATGATCATATTCATCACAAAGTTTTTACCCAAAGGGAAAATAAGTTTTATTGTACAAGTACAAAAGAACAAATTGAGAAACTGTAGGTAATGGGGGATACCAAATACATTTATGCAAATTAGTAGCGTAAAATTAATTCTAAAAATAATAGTGAACCAGATAAAATGTTCCATTTGCTTGGATAACACAAAAAACATTGTCTCATTTAGTGAGGGTTTCCTTATTCAAGAAAATAAAATCATTTTAATTATCTTCAGTGGAAAATGCTAAAAAAACATCAACCAACTTAAACACGGAGAATTTTTCTATTATATTGAAAGTAAAATTCAAGTTAAAATTAAATATATCTATAACTTTATCTACAAATACTTCACTAATTTATGTAAAGTGAATATAATAAAAGTAAAGAATAAATTTTGTATATAATATGAACCCCAATTTTTTTCTCTGAAGTCTCGCACTGTTAAGGGGTATGGAAATTAACGTTTGCAGGTGACAGACGAGTAAACCAGAATCCCCAGTTGACAATTCTCCAGGTTATTTTGCATAGAGAACACAATCGTGTTGCCGGTGTTTTGGCTCGACTGAATCCTCACTGGACAGATGAAACGATTTTTCAGGAAGCACGTCGCATCGTTACCGCTGAACATCAACACATCTCGTATTACGAATGGCTTCCAATATTTTTAGGTATAACAATTTTATAAACTTGTTTTTTCCTTTTTTAAAAAAAGAAAATAAATTACACTAATTACTGGAGTTAAATAATACTGAACCAAAAAAAAATCAAAATTCTAATTAAAATATTTTTCTTCAGGTGTAAAGAATTCTTTCAAACATAAGCTTATTTATAACACAAAGGACTACGTTGACGATTATGATGCATCCATTAATCCAAGCGTATTGAATGAACACTCGACAGCGGCATTCCGATATTTCCATTCTCTTATTGCTGGAAATCTCGAGTAAGTCATTCATTTTCCAGTATGTATGGATTTTATTTTAATAATATTGTTCTTTAGAAATAATTAAATTTTAATATTTGAAATGAACGTATTTGTTTTTATTAATTGTAACCTTAAATTTGAATTGTAATTTAAATACTAATTTTCTGCAAAAGAGAAAATTTTTGATGTAGGAACAAAGCGTAATATTTATGAAATATGAAATTTTAATAATGTTTTTCAGTTTGGTGAAAGAGCCCAGATTTACCTATTCATACAGTGCTTTTAATTCGTTGAGACTGAGTGACCACTTCAACAATCCGGCTGTTATCGAGCGCGGAAATAATTTCGATGACCTCACCAGAGGATTGGGAACTCAACCGGAAGAGGCAGCGGATCAATTCTACGACAGAGAGGTATAATCTCTGTGATATATTTATCATATATTAGTTCTATTTTATTATATGGTGCTACTACATTTATATTGATTAGGAATTATTTTGTTCCCATTGTATTGCTACTACTTTAGTTAATTTGAAATTATATCGAAATTCATGTTCTGCAATGTTTCGGGTCTGGGAAATATTGGTGACTACCAGGCAAACTGTTGAATTAATACGGGGAGATAGGTTGTTTTAAAGAATAATTCTTTAATTTATTTTCCTTATTGGCCTTAGTCCCAGTAGCCTGTGTTTTCTTAAAGATGATTATTAACGTTTCTTGGTGGACTATTCCTTATTAGAAGAACCTCTAATTTTAATAAGGAAATTTTATTAGTTGGTATTGATCCCAGAATATTCCTTGGCGAATGTTCGCGAGTTGCCTTTTTTTCTGCGACCTATGACTTTCAGATTACCATTGATCCTAAGAACAATAAGAAATATGACCAGGTTTTCTCGTGACCAAAAAAATTAAGTCGTTATATTTTGTGATCTAACAAGATTAATTTTTAATTTCGGGAGTTACCTTTTCTTCTGCGACCTATGACTTTCAAAATACTTTACTCGATTTTGAGTCTAAGAAATTAATTTTATTGTCCATTTTTAATTCATGAGTGAATTTTAAATTAATATTAAAAGTATTAATAAAAAGTTCGACTTGATCTTTATAGACGCACAAAAGCTTGCCGTCCACATATCTAAAATAAAATAAAGAAACACAATTGTATTATTTTTAAGCAAATTTAAACAATCAGATTCCAAGTCATCCATTACAATATCCGCAAAAAATGGTGATATTAGTAACCACATTGGAGTGTTGTATTTATTTAAAAAGTTTCTTTAAGTGACCAGATGATGGTGGGGAACCAGACCACCGAAACGTCGTCTAAAATTCTATATCCTTATGGTAATTGTATTTTTCATTTATGTCACAATTTAACAAAGAACTCAAATTTCAGATTACAAATTTCCTGTTCCGTGACATGGATCAACTTGGAGTCGATCTCCGCGCCATAGATATACAACGATCTCGAGATCATGGTCTCGCATCGTACAATGATTACCGTAGCTATTGTGGAGTTCCAAAAGCAACAACGTGGAAAGATTTCCTTGACCTCATTTCCCCTCAGGTAGGACACTATAAATTACAAATTCAATCTTACTACAATCCACTTTTTTGTATTCAATTTTATCTTGCATTTAAATTTAAACTAAAGCCACAAAAATTAAAGAGTGCATTAAAGTAAAAAAAGAATTGTTTGCAAAATTAGAAAATGTCTTTTCTCATCAACAGAATGTACAAATACTATCAAAAATGTTCGAATCGCCTGACGATGTAGATTTAACGGTTGGCGGTATTTTGGAGAGGCATGTGCCAGGAACATTGGCAGGACCAACATTCCTTTGCATTTTAACTGAACAATTCTTTAGGACGAGAGTTGGAGATCGTTTCTGGTATGAAAGTGGAGATACTGACACTGCATTTACTCTTGGTGAGTATCATTTTTAATTCTCTTTTTTAAAATCATAATAGAAAAGTAGAATTTTTTACTAACATAACTATTTTAAATTTTAGAACAATTGAACGAACTTCGTAAAGCAAGCATTTCGAGGTTGTTCTGTGACAATGGGGATAACATTCAATCGATGCAGATGAGAGGATTTGAACAAATTTCCGAAAGGTGAAATTTTTTTGCATATACCCCTTTAAAATCAATAAAATAATTTAAACTAATTTTTCATTCTTCCCCATTTCAGAAATCCTCTTGTGAGTTGCGACTACATTCCAGCCATTGATTTATCATTGTGGAAAGATTATGCACAAGGTCCATCGCTTATACAACCGCGACCGTCGTATTTTAAGAAATAAAATTTAATTTAAACTAACTGTTAATTTTTTTTTAATTGTTAATGAATTTTTGTAAGTTCATCATTCCTTTTTGTACAGTTATGACTATATGGATCATTCACTCGACGAAAGCTATTAATTATTATAGCTCTACCATTGTCATCAAATTTTTTTTATATTATAATATGAATTAAAATACTTTATCGTCCAAAGACGTTTTCAAGCTTCTTTTCTTATTCCTTCAATTATCTATTTTTGTCAAAAAAAATTATCGTATAATTCAGAAAATTTCAAAATTATAATAAGATGAAAATGATAAAAATACTAAATTTAAATAAACATTGTTGTATTATAAAAACTTTTTTAAAGAATCAAATTGTAATTATCAATTTTTTTCCGAAAAGCCCTTGTACAATACGCTATTGAAATAAAATAAATGATAAAACTCGAATGCAAATAAATCATTCGAGATAAAGAGATTTAGAAGAATTACAGATTCAACTGTTTAATTAACACTTATCTAGGGGGGGAATTTATTTTAATCTAAAGTATGATAATATTTTTTATATATAACCGATTTTTTGGGAACAAAAAAAGTATTTTGTCATTGCAATTAAAAATTGTCGGTTGTAAAATATTTCACCCTTTTTTTTTATAGAAGTAGTTTACAGAAAAAGTGGTAATATCACAAAAAACATTTTTTAAATTTTATTAAAAAATATATTCCAACTTTTGTTACTTAATGTTTTTTATTTAAATTTCCAATATGGGACGTATTTTAATTATAGTTCTCTCATGTTTAATTGTTGTTTTAAGTGCTCAATATTCGTAAGTATTTTTTTTATACATTTTGGTTCTAAAAATTCCATTTTAAAGTTAGTATATTTTTAAAATCCAATTTTTTATGTACAGTGGGGATTCTTTTAATCCATTTGCCGAATTAAAATGTGGTGATATTTTTACAAGGGTTTGTGAAAAATCGAAATTTAGAACTATGGATGGTACATGCAATAATAAATTGCATCCCACTTGGGGTATGTCTTTCACGAGATTTAATCGTCTTGTACCAGCAAATTATGCAGATGGTGAGTTTTCTTCTTTTTTTTTGGGGGGGGGAAAACAATTTTCTATTTTAATATAATTAATATAATTTTTTCGTTTTTAGATTATTTTCAAATTTAGGATAATTTGTAATATGTAATTTCTTAATTTACGGTTTTTGTGACTTAGAATCGAAACCTTTAAGCTTTCTAATATTTTTTTTAATTAAACAAATTACAGGATATTTTTCACCAAGAGTTGCTAAAAGTGGCAAAACGCTACCACTAGCACGTATTCTCAGTCGAATTTTAAGTCCGGACAAAAGATTAATTGACAAGAAGCATACGGCATTAGTGATGCAATGGGCACAAGTTGCAACCCACGATATGATTCAATCAGATTTTCGCGAAGTTACACGTAAGTTAAATTTTAGTTTAATTAGAAAATTAGTGCTTTACTGGAAAAATTTCTTTTCCAGCGGAAACAAATTGCTGCTCAGAACAAGGAAAATTAGTTCGTGATCCCGCCAAGTATCCCCTTTGTTATCCTGCTCTTGTGCCAAAGGACGATCCTGATTATGCAAAAAGGGGTATCGAGTGTTTTAATTTATTTATTCGGAGAAATACGGATGTTAATCGTGGATGCTCTGCACAAAATGGTGTTCAGAATCAGGTAGACGATATTCTTGATTGGAATGGGTTATACTTTTTTGGAAGTGATTAATTTTACTTTCTAGCGGAAGAAATATTCTTTTCTCGCCGAAGAAGTATTTTGGATGGTAATTAATTTTCTTTGCAGTTAACAATGACTACTGCTTACTTTGATCTTTCGCTTGTGTACGGATCGACGGATAAAGAGGCTGCGAGTTTACGGGAACATAAAGGTGGTAGATTACTGACGGAGATTCGTGGAGATCAGGAATGGCCACCACGTAGTGATACGTGTGTCCCGAATGCGGAAACTTGCTACAAAACAGGTGAATTCTACATATTTTTAGTTATACCTAATGATTTTAAAACTTCTGCTTAATGTCAAGCAAAATTCGATAATTTTAATTTACTTAAAATTAATATGAACAATAATTATTTGCAGGTGATAAGAGGACAAATCTAGGCGTTCAATTAGCATTCTTCGTGGTTGCTCTACTACGACAACACAATCGAATGGCGGCAGAATTATCAAAATTAAATCCTCACTGGGATGACGAGAGACTTTATCAAGAGACAAGAAGAATTTACATTGCACTCAGTCAACAGATCACGTACAATGAATTATTACCCATACTTTTAGGTGCAGTATAAAATTTTAATTTTAATTCGATAACTTTCTTCAATTAAACAAATGTAATTTAATTATTCTTTAATCTACCGCACATTCTAGAGTAGAAAATAATTAATTAATTTCTAGCCCGGTAATTAAGTTATCAACAATAAAAATTATCGAAAGTTTCATTTTAGGGGAAGAGAATGCGCAGAGGGAAAAAATCACTTATAAGACAAATAATTATGTTAATGATTACGATCCATCTGTGGATGTTGGTGTTGTAAGTGAAAATGTTGCCGCAGTCTTGAGATCTTTTCACACTTTGCTTAGCGCTGACTACAAGTAAATGAATAATATATCATTTAAAATGAAAAGAATGTAATAATTACGAAATTAGTTTTCCATAATTAATTAATTTTCAAATCGGTAAATGAATTAAAAATATATATTCAATTTCTAAATTCGAATTGCTCTAAATTTTAGCATGGTAAATGAAAAACGTGACCCACCTCTCAAAAAAGCAAACATAAATTATTTATTTAACGATCCAAAAATCGTTGAGAAGGGTGACAATTACCATTGTCTTTTGAGAGGTTTAGCAACACAACCACAAGAAGGAGCCGATCAATATTACGATAAAATGGTAAAACTATTTTTATTAAATCGTAATTAATTAAATCCGAATAGAAATAAATCTTAAGGATATATCTTAAATCTTAAGTTCATGAATTTGCTTATTTCGAAGTCAAATGTATTCTCACCTTAATTTCAACGTTAAGTTGAGACTTGATTTTCCCATTACCCCCGCAATCCTCTGGTTCCTTAAAAGTTACAATGGGTACGCGACATGAAGTAAAAAAAAATTTTTCAGAAATTAATCAATTTATTAGTTTACAGTTGACCTGTTTCTTGGGACAAACGTAACAATTACTGATGGACGAGCATTGGATATTCAAAGAGGACGGGATTATGGCATTGGCACATACAATCAATGTCGAGAATTATGTGGCTTCAAACGAGCTGCGAAATGGAAAGACTTTTTGGATTTCATCCCATCCAAAGTAAAGTCGAATAATTACATAAAAATTGTTTTTCTTTGAAAATTTTTGCATTTACTAAATTTTCACATGTAATATTGAAAAACAAAATTTTGCATCTAATCTGTTCTTATCTAGGACGTGAAGCATATGAAGAAAATTTACGAGAGTCCAGAAGATGTTGATTTGACGGTAGGTGGTTCAGTGGAAAATCTCGCTTCCGGAGCACTAGTTGGACCAACTTTCCAATGTTTATTAAATAAACAATATCTCAGAGCTAGAGTTGGAGATCGATTTTTCTTCGAAAATGGAAAACGCGGAAATCCTTTCACTTTAGGTAGGAAATTTTCAAAATTAAAAAGAAAAACCTTTTCTACATTTTCGAAATGTTCATAAATTTCTTTTTAGATCAACTGAATGAAATTCGAAAATACACCATTTCGAGATTGATTTGCGACAATACTGATACTAAATCAATGCAACGTCGTGGATTCTTGCAAATTTCGAAAGAGTATGACTGCTTTTTATTACGTAATTAACTTTTAGTAAACAAATATTAATATAATTTTCTTTTACAGAAATCCACTTGTCGATTGTGAATCAATTCCGAAAATCAACTTATCCCTTTGGAAGGAATAATATTAATTTCCATATTTTTTCTAAAACAAATATAATGTGAATTGTTGTAAAATGAAAAATGAAAATAAAATGAAATTAAATTAAAAATTAAAGAAAAAAGAATTTTATTTTTAAATTCAGATTTATGCACACGTTCAATTATTTGGTTAAATATTTGAATAAATATTTAAAGAGAAGAATATTTTTAAAATTTAGATTTCGAAAGAACAGCTGGAATCCTTAGGAACACAAAATAAAATGCATAATAAACATTTGTTTAATAATACAATTGACTTTAGAGAATTTTGTCAAGTGATAAATTTCTATTTTTATTTTTAATTTATAGTCCAGTTTCCGTTAATAAAAAGAAAATTTTTTCTCATCTGGTGTCAGTGAAAGAATTTTTATTCCTTTCTATCATTAGCTAAAGTCTCCGCCTTTTTGTTTGAAACATTTTGTAAAAATTCACGAAAAGAAAAAGAGAACGAAAAATATTTGTAGTTTGTTTGATTTCTTTAAATTTTACCATGAATAATAGTTTTAGTTTATTGCTTTTAATGTTAATTGTATTTGTAAAAAGATATGATACGTAAGTGTATAACTAAAATTTCTTATACAAACTTATAAAAATAATTCTACTTTAACGAATTCTATATTTATTTTATTTGAATTGTTCCCCATTGTATTTTATTTAGATTTCTATTATGAATTATAATCTTTATTTTAATTTGACGTTAATATTATTATATTTATTTTTTTTTGTTTATGATATACATCGTCAAATGAAGATATAATTTTTCTTTTATATTATGACTTTTTAGTACCGATAATTCAAAGCAATTAAATCCGTATTTGGAATCGAAATGTGGTGACATTTTTACTGGAGTATGTAGGGAATCGAAATACCGTTCTATGGACGGATCATGTAATAATAAATTGAATCCCACTTGGGGAATGAGTTTTACAAGATTTAATCGTCTTATACCAGCAAATTATGACGATGGTAAATTTATTTAAAATCCAGAAATTATTTTAAAAATTTACAATTCATTATTAATTTATTTTCTATTCATTAATTTAATGTTTAAAAAAAAATTAGGATATTATGCTCCAAGACGAGCGAGAAGTGGAAAAACTTTACCATTAGCTCGTGTATTAAGTCGCATTTTGAATCCGGATAAAAAAATAATTGATAAAAAATATACAGCGTTGGTTATGCAATGGTCGCAGGTTGCAGCGCACGATGCTGTTTTGTCAGAACCACGTCCAAATACACGTAAGTGAAATTTTTGTGTAATTAAAAAAATTCTTTTTACATCCTCTCTAGAGGGGTTTTTTGAAATGTTTTCCAGCGGAAACAAATTGCTGCTCTGAAAAAGGAAAATTAGTTCGTGATCCCGCCAAGTATCCACTTTGTTATCCTGTCCTTGTACCACAAGATGATCCTGATTACGGAAAAAGTGGCATCGAATGTTTTAATTTATTTGTTCGGAGTAATACCGATGTCGATAGTGGATGTACTGCACGTGGTGGGGTTCAAAATCAGGTATTTAAATAGTAATACAAAACTACAGTACAAAATTTTTAATTGATGATCTATGATCTCTAATTATTTCAATAGTAATTTCATTAGATTTTAACTTTACAATGATAAATTTGTCGAATGTTTGACAATTTGCTTCCAGTTAACCGGAACGACTCATTACTTGGATATGTCTCTTGTTTATGGATCGACGGATAAAGAGGCTGCTAGTTTGCGGGAATTTAAAAGAGGTAGATTACTGACGGACATTCGTGGTAATCAGGAATGGCCACCACACGGCGATACCTGTGACAAAAAGGCTGAAGTCTGCTACAGAACTGGTAAATATTCTCTTTAATTTTTAATTTCAATTCGTGATGGTTATACCAGATCCGGATGACCCAAAGTATCAAACAATAGACAAGTATTCCCAATTTAATTTGTTCTTGTGAATTCTTCGGGTCAGCCTTCAAGGAGGCTAAGAAGACTCTCGCAAGAATCAGGAACAAATAGTGAAAAGGTTTATTATTCGTCGATATGACCACAACGGATTCAGTGTAAAAAACAGTTATGCTGACGACATTATTAATTACAGGAGATAGAAGATCGAATGCAGGAATTCAGTTAGCATTCTTCTTTGTTACATTGGTCCGTCAGCATAATCACATTGCTGGAAAATTATTAAAATTCAATCCTCATTGGAATGACGAGAGGATTTATCAAGAAGCAAGAAGAATTTATATTGCAATAAGTCAACAAATTACGTACAACGAATTTTTACCAATTCTCCTAGGTAGAGTTATAGACGGAATATTTATCGTAATCAGTTAATTTTTTTTCGAAAGTTGAGAATCACTGGACGAGCCGCAGGAAAAGAGTGGGGGACTCAATAGTGATTGGTGAATCCTTACCCCCCACTCCAGACCGTCCAGTGGTTGTCAGTACAGTAAAGCAAGGTTTAAGTAAATGAATTATCAAAATACTTTAATCTAATTTAATGAATTAACAAAGAGGAAAAATAATTTCAACGCTATTTCAGGAGAGGAATACTCTTATCAAAACAAAATTGCATACAACACTCCAAATTACGTAAACGATTATAATCCAACAGTGGATGCTGGTGCTTTGAACGAAATGGTTGCAGCAGTAATGCGATCTTTCCATACCCTTCTTAATGCAGATTTCAAGTATTAAAAATTCCATCAATTTCTAAGATAAATAAAAAAAATTAGACTTTGCGGAAATGTAAATTTATTTTCCAGCATGATAAATGAAAAACGGGACCCACCGCATGGAAAGGCAATAGTGAATAACGTCTTCAACAATCCTACAATTGTCGAGAAGGGCGACAACTACGATTGTCTAATGAGGGGTCTGGCTACACAACCCCAAGAAGGAGCCGATCAGTACTATGATAAAATGGTAACACATATTCATAACATTTCTTTTCTAATTTTAATGTTAAAAATTAAATCACAGTTTACAGCCGAATTGTACCTTGGAGAAAAAGTAGTGAAAACTGATGGTCGAGCATTGGACATTCAAAGAGGACGGGATTATGGGCTTGGTACTTATAATCAGTATCGTGAATTCTGTGGTTTACGACGGGGTGTACAATGGGACGATTTCCTAGATTACATTCCCCAAGAAGTAAGACTCCTAATCTACTGTCTGAATAAGAGAAAGAAATTTTCTAATTACATTTTTTCTACTTAGGCCGTAAAGGATATGAAGAGTATTTACGAGAGTCCAGAAGACGTCGATTTAACAGTAGGAGGTTCAGTGGAGAATCTCGCTCCAGGAGCACTGGTTGGACCAACTTTCCAATGCTTACTAAATAAACAATATTCTAGATCAAGAATTGGAGATCGATTTTTCTTCGAGAATGGAAATTATGGAAATCCATTTACCTTAGGTTTGATATAAGTTCTTTGCTTGTTCCTTTTGCGCTGATAAATAAAATGTTAAATCTTTTTTTTTACAAAGGGAATGGAAAATCTACTTTTCGATTAATGACATTGTACATTATCACAGATTTTATCTAATCTCGACGATAATTATTCAGACCTACACCACTTTATGTACGAATTATTTTGGGATTATGGCTAATTTGCCTACCACAACGCGAATGACAATGAGACTCACATTCTTATCAGAAGACCAGATTTACCAATATTTTATTATATTTTTTAACGCTAATAATAAATTCCAATAATATTTTCGACTACTACCGACAAGAACAGAATTTGATTAATAAAAATTCAAATTGAAATCTATTTTTAGATCAACTTAACGAAATTCGAAAATACACTATTTCAAGACTGATTTGCGATAATACTAATATCGAATCAATGCAAAGGCGTGGATTCGAGCAAATTTCGAAACAGTAAGAATACTTTCATACAATTTTATAAATTTTATTTTCTGATACGATTGAAAATGGAATTTGTTTCCTGTTACAGAAATCCGCTAGTGAGTTGCAAATCAATTCCGGAGATCAATTTATCCCTTTGGAAGGAATAATTTATTTGTATATATAATTATTAAAGTGCTAAATAATTATAATGTAAAAATTAATAATTTATTAATAGTCTAATATATTAAAGAATAAGAATGCAAAAAATAATTAAACATTAAAAACTATGTAGTCTATTTTCTTGTACAATAAAAATTTCTTAAAAATTACTACTTGTTTTATTTGACATAACAGGTTTGCCTTTTTCAGGACCTGACGCTGTGCTTAGTAAGTTTTCCGCGCAGCTATCTCGCGCAGATGACTTGAGAGGGGGCAGAGCGTCAGTAGATCTTTCCGAACCTGTAAATTAGGTTTTTATTGACAAAAATAATTTAAACTGTTACCATAATACTTACCACAGTATTATAAAATTTTATTTATGATATTATTAAACTTCCACTATAAAATTATAAAAAGTATACAGTACAGTTAATATTGTATAGTTGCTATTCTTAAAAAAAATGCTTGCATAAACTGGACGTAACAAACTATTGCAATGTGCGAAGAAATATTTTTAAACCTCCCTCTATCTTTTAGCAAATTTTATTTAAATTTCAAAATATTATTTGAGTCTCCTTCAAAGTTAATATTTTCAGATTATTCACGATTAACAGTAAACTCAAAAAGGCTTTTTTAATCAAGATATGAGGATTTGGAAGATTTATCCCCATTTTCGAAATAACCCTTATCACAAAGACTAAGACTATTTGTATCTCACATCAATAATGATAACCTTTTTTTGCATATTCATAAATAGCAGATTATCTCCTGAAAAAATTTAATATTTACTCATTGTGACAATAAAAGTTTTTACTATTTCATCACCATGAAGCAACTTTTTATCTTCATTCTATCGTTTTTGACAATTTTTACAACAGATTCTCAAAATTTACAAAAGTATGAAAATTAACTCAAATTTATAGTTATATATCCGTTTGTGCAAATTTTATAACTATTTTTTTATTCGTGTAAAACATTTTTTTACCTATTTCAATTAAAATATTAATTAAAATTAAAAATAAAATCGAAATAGTGTAGAATAGAAAATAGATTTTGATAAAAGAATAATTTGAAACTAAATATAAAACATTGTTATAAAAAACATTGGTCTTTTAGTAACACGAGTAATCCATTTGCGAAATTGAGATGTGGTGATATTTTTCCGAAGAAATGTAAAGAATCAAAATTCAGAACTATGGATGGGTCTTGTAATAATAAATTGAATCCAACGTGGGGTATGACTTATACTCGTTATGGACGCATCATACCTGCTAATTATGATGATGGTAAATTTTCTTTCTATTTATTTAATTTTTGATTTTATAATAAATTATTAACACATAATAAATGAGCAGAAACAAATTTTTTTAAATACCTAATCTACTTTTTTTTTGTTGAAAATATTAGGTTTCCATTTACCAAGACTCAGTACAAATGGTAATGTCCTACCTTTGGCTCGTATTCTCAGTCGTGTATTCAGTCCGGATAAAAAAATACTGGACAAAAAATATAGTGCACTAGCAGCACAGTGGACACAAGTTGTAACACACGATATTCTTTTAACTGACGAGCGTCCTAATACAAGTAATTTTTTTTTACATAATTTTGATAATATTAAATTTAAGATATTACAATATTTAAGTAAATTTTTAAGTATTCTTTTTTAACTTTTAACTAAATCTAACTTTTAACCATTTAGCGGATTCAAATTGTTGTTCGGATGAGGGTAAATTAGTTCGTGATCCCGCTCACTATCCACTTTGTTATCCAGCATTAGTGCCTAAGGATGATAAAGATTTTGGAAGTAGTGGAACAGAGTGTTTAAATTCATTTATTCGTAAATATACCGACGTCGATCGTGGATGTAGTCCACGTAATGGCTTTGCAAACCAGGTGCTTTTTGTCAAAATTTTTTTAAAAACTATAACTTACTAATCAGTTTTCAAAAATCTAACACTTAAAATCAGAAAGAAATGTTGCTTACTAGATAAATTCTTTTGCAGTTGGTAATCACCACACATTTTCTCGATCTTTCCATAGTTTATGGATCCACTGACGAAGAGGCTTCTAGTCTACGAGAATTTAAGGGCGGTAGATTATTGTCGGAAACTCGTAATAATAAAAAATGGCCACCACACAGTGATACTTGTAAAAAAGAAGCAAAAGTTTGTTACAGAAATGGTAAATTTTTTTGTTTTTTGAATTTTTAAAGTCCTTAAAAGAAACCGGATGCTATCAAAAATCCGTTAGTATACTGTTTCAGTGAGGAAAAATTCTAAACAAATATGAATAATTTCAATAATAAGAACAAGAATACAAGTAAATGGAAAATTCTATTTTAGGAGACAAAAGAGCAAATGTGGGAATTCAGTTGGCATTTTTCTCCGTTATTTTATTTAGAGAGCACAATCGTATTGCAGATGAATTAGCGCGATTAAATCCTCATTGGAATGACGAGAAACTTTATCAAGAAGCAAGGAGAATTTATATCGCGATAAGTCAACATATTACCTATTATGAATGGGTACCAATATTTTTAGGTACAGTATATAAAATAATAATTCACCCAATAGAAATACAACCCTTTTTCTAAAAATCATGTTGAACAAAAAAACTATTACATCATCAAAATTATTTTAGGCGAGAATAATTCTTACTTTTATCGGTTAATTTACAATTCAACGGAATATGTAAATGATTATAATCCATCATTAGATGCAAGTACTTCGAACGAAGCAGCCACGGCGATATTTCGTTCATTTCACACAATACTTTCCGGAGATGCAAAGTAAGAAATGTGTCTGAAATTATTAGTAGAAATAAAAATTTCTTGACTTGAAATAGTTTTTATATAATTTATTGTTACGTCCAGTTTAAACAAGCATTTTTTATACTGAAGAATAGAAAAGATTTTGAAAGAACCTTATGAAAATTAAATGAAATATAATTTTTTTACAGTTTAGTGAATGAGAGGCGTGATCCACCTTGTCAGTTTGCAAACGTTAATGAACTCTTCAATGATCCGAGTATGATTGAAAAAGGCGATAATTTCAATTTACTAGTTAGAGGAATAGCGACACAGCAACAGGAAGCATATGATCAATATTATAATAAAGAAGTTGGTATAAATCAAATGTTTCGAATTTAGTTTCGTATTAAGTTTGCACCTCGTGTTGCGTGCGCAGTCTCAAGGTCACCGAAGGACCAATGACAGCGCGCCCCCCTCCCTTTTTCGTGCTGCGCGCGCACAATGCTCGACTTAACCTTCAACTATTCTCGTAATTTATTCGCAGCTAACTGGACGCGTGAATCTTGGACCTGGCTTTGTAAAATCAGATGCTCGTGCTCTCGATATTCATCGTGGTAGGGATCACGGTCTCGGAACTTACAATCAATATCGCAAATTTTGTCATCTTCCAAAAGCTAAACAGTGGAATGATTTCTCGGATTACATTTCCAGTAAGGTGAGAATTAAAATTTTTCCTTTGAAGCTTAAAATGTTTTCATACAAATGAATTGACTGAATATATAACTTTTTTTTAAATTAAAAAATTTTTTTTTAATAATTTTCGTTTTTCAGAATATTGAAAATTTGAGGAGAATTTATGAGTCGCCGGATGATGTCGATTTTACGGTTGGCGCCACTTTGGAAGAAGCAATACCGAGTTCACTGCTAGGTCCCACATTTCATTGTTTATTGACTTCAGAAATGTATCGGAAACGAGTGGGAGATCGATTTTTCTACGAGAGCAAAGAAAGTGATCATCCATTCACAGTAGGTTAGTACAAAAAATTTGAGAATTTAAAGAAAATTTGTAAATTTTTAATAAGAGAATAATTAACACTTTTTTCAGATCAACTAAATGAAATTCGAAAAGCAACAATTTCCCGATTACTTTGCGACAACAGTGAGATAAAATCGATACAACGTCGTGGAATGGAGATAATTTCAAGAAAGTAAGAAAGCTTCTAGGAATTAAATTTATTCAAAAAATTAGGTCCTAAAATTTAATTAATTTTAACTATTGTGTCGCTCAAGGAATACTGATATATAAAATTTTTTTTTCAGAAATCCACTTGTGAGTTGTAATTCTATATCGAAGATTGACTTATCGCTCTGGAGAGACAAATGTCAATAATTTAACTTTCAGTTTTCAATTTTCATACTAAAAAATTTTTCTATCGTAAATAATTTTTAGAAACATTTGATATTTTAAATTTCAAGTCGTACAATGTAGATCCTGTGATGCATAATTAAGAATGAAAGTCTGCCAGAGAGTATTTAACATTTTTTTAATTTAATCTTTAATTATTTTAATTAACACCTTTCCAACTGTAAATTTTATTAGTTTACCAAATACTAAATTCTAATTTTTATCCTTCTATCGAAGAAAATTTAATATTATTATTATAACTATTATAACTATCACTATTTTTTTGCAAATTCCCATCAATTTAAAAAAAAAGTAGAAATATAATCCATATTTAAACTGATACGATACGTGAGTATCTGAATTTAAATTTTACAGCAGAATTAAAAATTCAATATTTAAATACAAGAGACGAATTTTTTTTATAAAGATGCAAATCCAATGTTTCTCCACGTCCCTGTTTAAGTCCCAGTCACGATCATGTACTGCTTTCAATCTTACGGAAACTTGAAATCTTAAGCATATTTCATTCATAAAAAAATCAAAAGAAAAATTTTTTATAAAAATTCATAAAGAATAGTTAAAAGAAAAATTATTTTAATTTGTAATTACTAATGACAGTCGGTGACAATTTTGATAAAAAAATTTATTAAAAACAGAAAAAGAATAACAAAATCATCTCTGTCATTAATATTTTTTTAGTTAAAATAAAACTGAAAATATTTATTTTTCTCCAGATAGACATACATACGAAATAAATGCAATTGTTTTATTCAAATTAAGTTCTCGTCGATTTGTTTTTCTTTCGCAAATAAAAAAAAAAATTTCCTATCAAAAACATGTGAATAAATTTTTAAGGAAATATTCAGAGATAGAGAGAAATTATCGATTTTTGTATTTTTGTGAAGCATATTTTGTACCTATTGAGAAAATTTATTTCCCAGGGGAATTAGACAATTAGAATAATTTTATACTAAGGTTTCGCTACTTTAAAGTAGGGGATAGTTGATTTTTTTTATAAAATTATTCCAATATGAATTTTTAGAAGAACACATTTCGTTTTTTATTTCTTTGTAACTCACAACTTGACACCGATTTTCATTCATTCCTTAGCCATTTTTTTTTACTATTTACACTTTTTCATGACCGTAGTACAAATGTTTTGTTTTATTTTAATAACCTTAACATTTTCCGCATTACGTTTGTCATATTTACTCATTCACCATGACACCCATTGCACTTTTTCTCTCACAACATTTATTCCAAGAGTTACACTCATAATGCGTAATTCCATATCTCCTAATATTATTTTTACAAGGCTGTAAACTCTAAGCGCAAAGAATTTTTAAAATATAATAAAACTACAGATGTTAAGAGTTCTATTGCTAAATGTGCTGAATTCATCGAGAAAAAATACATTTTATTTTATATAAATTTAAATGTTAAGGATCTTGCTTAAAGGTATGTTTAACTGGAATATATTCAAATAGAGTAGGAAGTAAAAAAAACTTTTGTATTAGGAAAGTTTTTTCTTTTACATTTTTGTAACAATAAAGATGACATTAAAATATTTCTAAAAATTGGAAACAGTAAAAATATTTTAGATTTATTAATAAGAATATTAATTCAAATTTGAATAGTAAGAAGAATCCTAATAGCAGAATAATTTAAGTAATGCTTGCTTTGTCATTGGCGGAGGATTCTTCACGTCGCCTGGACCCCCCACCCTTCCGTTAGGAGGGCCAATCGCAAGGGACTTACGGGGAGTATAAATATAGAAAACGGAGCTCCAACCGGACATAACTATTTTGGACGTTGTGGTGCGAAGAACTACTTAGGTAAGTAGCTAATTGATTTAAGAAAATAAACTTAAAATTAACTAACTTCGCTAATTAACAGTTATACTAAATAATATTTATTAAATACTATTAAATAAATGTATTCAAAATTAAAAAATTAGATGCGAAGGAAAATAGAAAACTATTTTTTGTAACTTCTTTATACTGAAAAAGGTTTGTTTAAACTGGACGTAACTTTTATAATCAGTAATATTACTGATTCAATATATTCGATCAATATTGTAAAATTAACTCTGGAAATTACTTATTACAGAAATAAATTTAGTAACACAAATAATTATTTTCTACGAAATAAAAGAAACGAAATCAAAAAAAGGAGAATATTTAATATATGTTAGAGAAATGATTGTACAACTAATTATTTCTACTTCCTATTAATTTATTTCTTAACATACATTACATGCGTTTATGAAAAATAAATCGTTTATAAATTCCTCTTAACTTCTATTATCAAAAACTTATTTCTTTTCAGTTTATAAAAAGAAGAAAACACAATTTCTAACTTTAGTGGAAAGAAAACCTTTCCTCTTGTCTTAAAAAATATTTTCTAAAAACAATGTACAACTAATCTAAAGTAAATGTAAAATTTACAAAAGCAGTAAATTTTAACAATGAACACAAAAAGTATGAAATCTCATTTCATTTTTCTTAAAACTAATTACAAATGTTTCTCAATAAAATATGCAGTCTCCACTTGGTTTTTGTATCCAAGAATAATAATCAAATTCTCATCCGAAAATTAAGACGGAATTTTGTTTTCGATGATATATGAAAGATTAGTTTCATATTGAAATGATAAATAAAAATTTCTATTTTTGAAAATATCGCAGCCTAATAATGTTGTTCAAATAATGAAATTTGAATTCTTTGACATTTGAAGTTTTTCGGGTAGTGAATTTTTGACAAATAAATTTGATAATTTTGTGTGAACAATTTTGATGCACTCGGGAATTACTGTATTTTCGGTGAATTGTTCCAATAGAGGCCTTTTGAAGAGCCTCACCGCCTCTAATCGTTGTTCATCAGTGATGATTCTATCATCCAAATGAATTAATCGAGGAAACCAGGATATCACGACCAATCTAAAATTAACATTTTGTTGCTTTATGTCTTTAATTAGAAATTAAAATATTGTCGTTTCAATTTAGTCATTAGAAAATAAGTCCAATTGGTAAATATGAAATTGACAAAAGTCAAAACATTTATATATTTCAGTAGAAGAAAATTAACTAAAAATCAATCTTAAGAATGAAAAGTCTAACTCCCGAGTATTAACTTCAACATTCAAAGTTTCTTTCTATCGTTAATAATTTAAAACAAAATAAATATTTCAATAACAATCGTTCTCAGGAGTAAATTTTAGATAATTTTTTCTAAATTCTAATTTCCGTACCTGTATTGAAGATAATCGTAAAAACTGCCACCGTTGAGATAACTTGGCGCTGCTTTGTTACCCATCAAACAAAGATAACGAAGATTTGGTAAACTTTCGTAAAGACTTTTTATAAATGGAAAAAGATCGTCTATTTGATTGTGATTAATCCAAAGTAGCTGAAGTTTTGGCATATATGGAAATGTCGTAAACGAATCGACGTCATTGTGATCCAAATTTAGTGACGTCAAATTTTCAAATTCCGATAAAAATTGCAAATTTCTACAAAAAAAACAGTTGATGAAATTATTGTTTATTATAATTTTATTTTCTCTTTTATCGAAAAATAAAATAAACATCTGTAATTTCTGATTTCGTGATATTATTTTTTTTTATAGAAAAACATTTTCATATTTTGTAATTTTTGCGCAAATATGAAATACCAAAAACAATGACGTAGAATTTTAGGTAATTAAAAAGTAAAGTGTAAATAATTATTTCAAAACTAAAAGTAAAGTGAAAAATTTCAAAATTAGAAATAATTTGAATTAAAATAATGTTTTACTAAAAATAATTCAAGATTGAAAAGAAAAAGTAAAATATTTAAAAATACCTGCTAAATTTATTGTGACTGATGTCGAGTGTATTTATCGAATTAGCATAATTCTCAATGATATCGTATGGCATGTGAAAGAGACTTTCGAACGCCAATGATAATGATTCACTGTAATCTAAATTTGAAGATTCATCTGATGAAAGTGATTTTGAATGTCTCGAATGTGAATCGACGAAAATTAATTTTCCCAATGAGGTCATTGCAAATTCTTCCACAGTATCCTCTAAACCAAATTCTTCATTCTTTAGTCCCGACCTAAAAAGGGCAGAAAAAAATTGTTAACACATATGAAAATTAAATTCTCATTTTTTAAAAATTAAATTTTAAAAATTTATTTGCAAAATTTATTTGAAGCTTTTTTAAATTTTCTTCAAAAAAAAAAATTAAATTCGAATCAATATTCAAGGGAGTAATAAAAACATTTAATTTTGAAATTATTATATATATACAATGATTTTAGAATGCAAATCAAATTTCAAAGAACAAATAATTCGTTTCGCGAAAAAAAATGAAAATAATAATAAGCGTATCAGACTAAATGCATTTTATTCATTGATATTGTACAATTTTTCTTTGTTTACTTGGTTTTCGTAAATAATGGGTTTGAAAAATACACAACGGTAGTCTTTAAAATTTATTTACTTTTGTTTATTCTTTTTTATTTGATTTATTATTTTTTTTTGGAAAAATCCATGCAGTTTATTTATTTTTTAATAAATTATTGCAATAATCGTAAAATTTCGCAATAAATTATTGCGTTCTCTTTTCATTTGTATTTTCTTAGCTTATTTATTATTTTTATTTTAATGACAGAAATGGATTATTTTATTATAAAGGGTTGCTTAAACTGTACGTAACATCTGATAAATTAGATATTTCAGTTTTCATATTTATTTAAATTTATAAACAATAATATAAATAATTAAGAATTTAATTTAATTTGAATTTTGTATTTTATATTTTAGATTAAAATCTATTTTAAATATTTAATTAAAAAATAATAATTATCATTCGTTTTTTATTCTTTATAAAGTTCGAAATTATAAAGTTATTTTTAGGTATATCACTATTTTTTTCTATTATTACTGTTACTATTCTTATTAGTATTATTAATTATTTGTTACAATTTTGGATCGCATTTATATATTATAATCACGATAGCGGTGAATCTGATGTAAGAAATAAATTGATAAGATTTGATTTTATCATTGGAAAATAAAGTACCACTCTTATAATTCATGGTCAAATGATTTGGGAAATATAATTTCATAACTATTTAAATAAAATAATTAATTTTTTTTATGTTATTAATATTTTATTATTATTAATTGCAAAAAATGAATATTAAAATTAATATACATACTAAAAATAATTAGAATGAGAAAAAATAAAATTAGGTATTAAAAATATAAAAAATTTAAGGTACTAAAAATTAAAAAAATATCAAAAGTATGAAAAATATAAAAAATTTTCAATTATCAAAAGTATCAAAAATATAAAAAATTCAAAGTACTTAAAATTATTTTAAAAACATCAAAATTATTAATTAAAAGATTTAAAATCCAAGGTACTAAAAACTTCAAAAATATCAAAAGCATTAAAAATATACAAAATTTAAGATACTAAAAATTTTTAAAATATAAAAAATATGAAAATTATAAAAAATAAAATATAAAAAATAAGAAAAATATAAAATAAAAATGATATTATTTCTAACTAAAATAGTATAGAAAAAAATAATTCTCGACTTACATTCTTTTTGTAAATTCAAACTTCCTCAATTTTTCTCAACAATAGAAAATAGAAAAGTTCAAAATAAAGAGACAATCAACTATTTCAATAAATGTTTTCTAATATAATATACCATAACGATCAAAAAATAAAAAAAAAACAAATGTCTGTTGCCTCCTTATTAATAATTAGCATTCAATTAAAAAGCACTTTTAATAACTATATATAAATGTCTCGAGGTGATAGCAAAATAATTTGCACACTATATACAATGTGATCGACCTCCCATGCACAAATATGTATATATATATATATATATATATTTACATACAGTACAACTTTTCAGACAACACAAAATAATTTCAATGCACAAAAATAATTCTATAAATTTCTAATACATCTATATAGATATTGTTATACCACGACGTTACAATTAAGACTGAATGTGAAATTTTATCATTTTCAACTGTCTAATGATAAGAAAGTTCCTATCATATCAATGATGACGATATTATGAGGAAATTAAAAATTTTTCTTAAATGTTAAGGTTATTTAGATACATATATTATACATACAATGGATTTATAATCTTTTGCCTATATATATATTTGTCATAACTCGTGTCTCTATTCTCAGTTGATAAAATTCTAAATAAAGTGGAATTGTGTCAATTAATTTGTGATTGTCAACAATATATACATATATACAATATTAGTCGTGTATATATATAATCTGTACTTACTGAGTTTTCCTGCATATTCTTTTGTGCTACTCGATAAGCTGAGTTCCTGTCTTGTGCTGAGCGATACGGAGATATGATATTACTATAGAGTTCTGAGCAGAGACTAAAGATTGCACCACTCTCCAGTAAAGGAGATAAAATCGGATAAAATTATTTATTATCAATTTTTTTTCATTTTTTTAATCTTTCTTATTTTTTTAAATTTAGTTTTTTTTATTTTTATCCGATTTATTTCACTTTTATATATAGATTACATTTTTCAAATTATGTTTTTAAAAAATTTTTTTTATTGTTTTTTTTATTAATTATATTTTTTTTATAAATTTTATTTTTCTTTATTAATTTTATTGTTTATTTTATTATTTTCTTTATTTTGTTCTAATAACTAGTTTATAATCTTAAACGTCCGAGATCCTTTATAAATTAAGGCAAATTAAACGAAAACAGTCGGACAATGAATAAAAATGTTCTGATAACATTTTTTTTATTTATCTCCATTCATTAATTTCATTATACTTTTATTTTTTATTGCTTTCTTTAATATGTTAAATAATTAAAATAATAAAATTAGAAGGTAGGATGAAAAAATTTCTCTTATTGACTAAAGAATGTCAAAAAATTCTTGTTTAAACTGGACGTAACAAAAAACAAAGTAAATATTTTACTTTTTTCTTTTCATTTATATTTTATACTTTCCTTTTATTGTTTCTTCAATGTTTCATTTTCATTGCTCTCTTTCTAGTTAAAAAATTAAATTTTTTTAAATAAAATAAAGGTTGAAAAAAATTTCTTAACTAGTTGACAATATTATAAAAAATATTGTTTAAACTGGACGTAACAAATAACATGTTAAATATTTTATTTATTTTTATTTATTTATTAATATATATTTATTTATTTAGTTTAGCTCTTTAATATCTTAAAAATAATCGTTCAAGCTATGTAGGTACAATTAACAATTAAAAATTTAAACATTTTAATATTTTTTTCCTTTTTATAATCTTTACTATATTTTTTTATAATTAATTTATTTTTTATTTTCATTTTAATAATGTAACATTTATTTTAATAATTATACAAAGAGGTAATATTTTAATTTATTATTTCATTGTTTATTTTTTATTATTCTATTATTCATTTATTATTATTACTATTTTTTTTTATTTATTTTTTTATTAGTCTCATTAATGTTTTTTATTATCATTAACTAATTATTATTTATTATCGCTATTATTAAGTTAAAAGCAAACATGTTTAGTACCCAATTAATATAACATTTATTGATTTACATATTACCGATGATGTTCATCCATTTAACAAATAATTGAAATCTACATTATGAGGAAGATAATAACAGTTCGATAAATTATTATAATACAAATTTACTTTATTGAGGCAAAAAAAAAATATGCACGTATGAGTTGGTCTGTCATTATTATATCACGTTTGAAATGTAATATTTGTTATTACGTTAAGATCAAACATTTATTATTTATTATTAGAGAAATTTGCGCGCATATATTTTTTTTCCTCAATAAAATTTTTAATTATGATACGTAATACATTTTTTTTTTTATTCACACATCTTAGGAATCGTTGGAAATATTTTTTGCTTAACAAGAAATTAAATTTTGACAAACTAAAATAGAAAGTTTATTGACTTCGAAAGTCATCTAAAAGAAAGTTTAGTAAAATTTACCATATAAATTATGAGATATTTTACTAAACAGTGATGGTAATTTTCACCTAACTGTTTTGTAGGATCTTCCATACCGTATATAGAGGACAATTTGCCATTTATTTATTCAATTTTTATTGAACATTTTTTGATGAATTAAATATTCGTGAATTAAATATTCTTATATTAAATATTAATTATAATAAATGTTATTGAAGTCTGGTAAATTTGACAAAACTTTCATTTTAGAATTTTAATAAAGTTTCAGTTGTAGCTGTATAGTAACATTTACCTAAATACTTTGATAAAATTTGTTTAAATACCAAACTTTAATTTAGATTTTCGTAAATAATTCTAAATTTAATGATGTGAAATTTACCATACTGAATGGAAAAGTTTATTTAATTTCTGAGGTAGTCTTAAAATAAAATTATAGTAGAATTTACCATTTTTGTAATTTACTAAACTCATTTAAGGGACGTCAAATATTTATCTGTTGATTTTTTACCACAAATTATAGATAAATTTTAGCCAAACATTACAGTAAATTTCGCTTAATTCTAATTTTTTTTCTCCTAAATTCTTTGATAAATTTTCTTTTACCATAAACCAGGAAAAATTAAACATCGTTAAATTTTACTCATCAATTTGAATTTAACGTTTGTTTTCCTTAAATATAATTAAATATTTTATTTAATAAGAACTATTTCTTTTTAATTAATAAAAAAAATGTTAAAAATAACATTTTTAAATAATCTTTTGAAAAAATTTTTAAACAATTTTTAAACAATTTTTAAACAATTTTTAAACAAATTTTTAAACAATTTAAAAAAAACTTTAATAAAAATAATTGAGGGAAGAAGATTATTTTCGAAAAAGGACATTATTTTTGTTTTATTAGCATTTTCACTGTTGTATGATAAATAAATTTTCCAATAACATTTATCCTATAAAGATGTACAGAGAAAATATTTAACAAATATTATATATGGACTGCAGTATTATATATTTACATTGGAAAAATATTTTTTACCTCTGAAAATTCACTGCATCGAATTTATTTGTTTTTCTTTTAAAGAGTTTGGCAGTGTTCAATAACAAATATATATATATTAAACTAATTATTTTAAAACGGGAATTCGAATAATTACTGTGAGATAAATACTATTCTATATAAATTTCACATAAATAGCCAGCGAACCCAGATATATTTTTTTTTACTTTCAATTGTATTAAATTTAAACCTAAATAGAAACAAATATTAATTTCCACTGTTTTAAGCATTTTAATTTATTTTTCTGTTTTGGAAATTTATATTAAATATCCATTAGAATATTAAAAATAAATATAAAATTCGAATTTGAAAAAAAGTATTTTTAAATTTCGAAATAAATTAACAAATAATTAATGAAAATAATAAAAAATAAGAAAAAGAAATATTAAAAAATGAAAGAACATTCAATTAATAGCAATTTAAAAAAAACTTAGGGAATAATTAAAATTTAAAAATTTCACTTGCGAAATAAAAACATATTCTTCAATTTTATTTGACTTTTTGGTATTGACATTTCTTTTCTTTTTTTTTTTTTTGAAAAATACTCTGCTACAATTTTCATGTAGAATGTTATATTTATTAATAGTATATTTTTTTGCCTTTAATTGTAATTCACATAGTTGTGATAATTGAAATTTTTCTTTAATTTGAATAATATTTTGTTTCTTCTCTCTACCAGAAATTCGAAAATATCCTCTTTGAGGTTTTGAATAATATTTTAAGGAACTCTCTTTTTTTTATGCTGCTCGAACAGCAAATCTAAATATTTTAATTTATTTCGTAAAATTCGTTTGGCACAAAATAAAAACTGCATTCAAATTTAGCATTTATATTTTCAATTCCTTCGAAAAGTTACAAAAAAAAAACTTTTGAATGTCGTTTCTCGAAAAGTAAAATATTTTCTGACAAGAAAAATATAAATCAGAAAATCTGCAGCACAATATACTAGATTCCGTGAACTAGATGAAAATTAAAGTGTATCAAAATACAAAAATATATCTTCTAATAAAAAAACAGTTGTGAGAATATTTTCTCTAAAAAAAATATATTTCTTCGTAGTTTTTCATTTAGTGTAAGTTTTTTTTTTTTTTTTGGAGAAAAATTTATAGAATGACAAAAGTAGAAGAGCCTTGAGCGTCTCGTGAGTCGAGAACGGTGCGCGCGCAGCACAAAAGTGGGGATGACGCTTAAACGATTGGTTCGCGTGCTCCCCTCACTCTTAGTGCGCCCAGTGCATCTCAACTTAACGCTAAAACTATTTTACTTTTATGAATTTTTATTTTAATAACTATTAGATTTTAAAAAAGTGGAATTTTTCCATTACAGTAAAAAAATCTAAATAATTTAAAATCATAAGAGAACAAAATATTAAAAATTATTAACGAAATATTATTGGAATACAAAATTATTTTGATACACTCTAATTATAAATAGTGTTACATTTACATAATATTACACCCATTTATACATTTTTTGCACTTGGCAAGTGCTTTACAACGAATGATGCAATTGACAGAAAACACTCGAGACTATATTTTCCTAATTTGAACGACACCAAACGACTGTAATCACTCTTAAATATATATTTATATTTATTCTCGCATTAATACTTTGTTTTCTTTTTCATATTCTTCATTTTGCATCGAATTACAGTATTAGGTATATCGATGGATAAATAATTTAAATTTATCAAAGATGTTATAGATCCGTCAATATTATCGACTAGCGATATGTATCAATGAGTCAGTAAATAATAGTAACTTCGTCAAAAGAAAAAAAAATTATTAAAGAAATATTTGAAATATTAGATAAATAGTCTCATATTACACTAAACGGAATTTTTTCTTTAAATTTAATTTCGATAGTAAATAATTTTTCCTTTAAATTAGAAAGAAGTTTTTCCAAATATGAAATTTCCCGGTGAATTTGCATCGTCGGATGTGAAGTAATCTCTCCAGAGTGTCAGAAATTTCTCGCGAGTCACCTCAGTGCCCTGTAAAAATTAATTGAATTTTTTTTCGACTTTTAGGAAATTATTTTCTTGCTTCGAATAATTTATTTCCAATTTTATTCACAAATATCTTATATAATGAAATTAATGCACATTATTTTCAAATAAAAAATTAGAGCCTCAAACTTAAGTTTGAGAACCACTGGCACTTGAGTGGGGATATGCGGCAACCAATCATAATTCGCTATCCCCACTCTTCATCTGCGGTCCAACTTTAGACTCCATTTTTTTAAATTAAAAATACTACTATTAAAAATATTTCTATTTATTATTTAATCTAGAGTTTTAATTATATAGTTTAAATTTTAATTAAATTTAATCCTCAAGAAGAAAATATAATTAATTTAACATATATTAATGAACGTACAACTTGTAATTTTTTGAAGGCCTCCCGAGCTTCACTGTCGGTAACACCGTGATTTCTACAGACAACACAGAATTCTGATTCGTCAATTGATCCATCGCCTGAAAATATAAATAAATCAAAGGAAACTCCATTAAAAGTTAGGTAGGAAATTGAACTTTTTTTTAAAGTTCAATTTTGCAGAAAATAAATGGACAATAAATGAAGCATTTCTAAAATTAACAATTAAATTACCAGCACACCAAATGAATCACACAAAATTAAACTTCAATCAAAAATCAATTCTCTTTTAATTAAAAAAAAATCAAATTTGCCATAGCAGTAATTAAAAAAGGGAATAATAATTACCTGACGTATCCTCAAGATCAAAAACAAAATTCATGTATACATTCTGCCATTCTGGTGGATTATCTGGATTCTTTGCGTAGTCCTCCCACATCATATACCACTCTTCTCGACTTATCTAATTTTTGAAAAGAAAAAAAAATTATATTTAATTTCTCCTTTTTGAATTTTCACTACAATTTTATTATTAATAATTACTAATTTTAATAACTCGAAAAAATCACTAATTTGAAGAATTAATTACTTATTTAATATTTAAAGATTTCTATAAAATGTTTTTGATTATCATTTAGTGACTAATTTAAAAAATTATTAATGAAATTATATTTTTAATTTGGTGGAACGTGGAAATTTTTCGAGTTGAGAACACTGTCGAAAACGTAGACAAGGAGTGGGGGAAGGCGAAGGCGATTTGTTGTCACGCTTCCCCCATTCCAAGGCGTCATGGTCAAGGAGTGGGGAAAGTGAAAGGCGATTGGTTCCCACGCTTTCCCCACTCCAAGGCGTCATAGCGAAGGAGTGGGGAAAGTGAAAGGCGATTGGTTCCCACACTTCCCCCACTACAAATTGTATGCAGTGTTTCTCAATCGATCCAAATTTTTTTTTTAAATTACCTGACCATCCTGATCAGAATCCGCTCCTTGCTTCAAACCTTCCCAAATTTTTAATAGCGTCGCCTTGGTCTGTTCCAATTTTGCAGTGTCACTTGCCCAACCTCTCGAAGAGCAAATTGACTAAAATTAAAAGAGAAAAAGAATTTTTTACAATTAGAAAACATGTACAAAGAAAAAAAAAAGATGAAACTTACTTGAACTGCGAGATCTAAATCTTTTTTGTCAATTGCCCCACTATCGTTGACATCTAGAAAAAGTAGATTTAATTAAGAAACAGAAAATTAATTTTTAATCAATTTTCAACAAAGAATGGAAAACAGTAAAAGTTAATATTAAATTTTGCAGCAAGTGATTTGTAAGCAACAAAGAAAATCAAAACTTAATCGTCAAACAAAACGTTCTGAAACTTTATTAAAATCGAGAGATTTAACGAAGGATTTTTCCTGTCATATATAAAACTGATATTATACGATATATATATGTATTCTCATGACAGACTCTTTAATACGACGATATATAATCATACTGCCACTTTATAAATGAAGCTCCTCAAGTGATCTCAATTCGTGGCATGGAATCAATAACGAAATCATAAAAGCATCTCCATACAACGAGTAAAGTGACTATATTCAATTGAACACTGCAACCACTTCTCTATTTTTTTTTCTCATTCTCAGTGAGAAAGAAAAATGTCCGCTTTTGTAGTCGACCTTCAAGTCATTTATTATTTTCAATTTAAAAACTTTGTTATTTGTCGAGATATTTCGATTTCATATATATTTTACAATAGCAATATTTAATTGATAATTATTTAAAGTTTAAAAAAATTAAATGAAAAAATTATATAAATAAATATTGTTTTAGTTCAATTTTAAAATACAAAAGAATAATAAATATACTCTGTATGTTTATTTTCTATTCTTCATTTTCCATTATAATAAATATTTTTAAATAAATTAAAAACAAGTATTTATATTTTATCGATTAGAAAAGAGAAAGATATTTATTTAGAAGAAAATAGGATTTAAAAATCCAAGAAAATTTTCTCATCAATGAGCAATTGTCAGTAAGGGTAGTGAGAAAAGTGTAGACAATAATTCTTTCTACTTGACAAAATTTGATTGGTTTGAGAGACTCAGCGTCATTGGTAGACGGCATACCCGCCCCCCACTCCTGACGGACTGACCAATCACGCTCCGTCTTCCACTGGACGCCGGGGGGTATAAATAAGCCACGCGCGGTGCCTACGAGTCAAGAGTCAATCGGACCGTCCTAGGGTGAAGAACTTCATAATTTTTTAAATTGTTAAAATAATATTTAGACTCTGAAGGCGCATGTAATATTTTAGATTCGTTGAAGGCGAATTTAATATTTTAGATTCTAAATTAATCCTTATATGAAAAGAGTAGATATGCAAATTAGGTATATTTGGAATTTTAGATTATTAATTAATTCTTACATGAAAAGAGTAGATATGCAAATTAGGTAAAGGAAGACATTCTTGTTATTTATTTTGGAAAGTGGAAGAAATAAATATTTCGTCAATTGAATAGAAACGGAAGACCTGCTTGATTTTTAAAAGTATATTAATAATTTAGTTAATTACATTCAATTATCATTATCATATTTAAAAAAACAAATAAGCATTTCAATGAGGGAAAAAAATTCCCATTCGATAAATTAATTTCCAACGAATTAAAGTTGATTTTACCCGATATAGAAGCAGCGTCCATAAAGCTTAATTAATAATTGTGTTTTGACTTGCGGAACACGGCTATTTACATACGAGGCGGAGTTAATATTGACCTAAGAGTGCAGCTTTCGTTAATTCGAATGACTAAATAATCATTCATGCTTTTACTTAATTTCAACTATTAATCAAATGAAGAGATAAAAAATTTAATTCCCATTACAATCATCTTTTATACCATTTATGTTCTCTATCAATTAATAAAATTATTTTTCAACTCGCAGGGGAAAAATTTAGAATAAAGAATTCGTTAACATTCTCACAAGTTTATTACTTTTTCCAGTCTCTCCATTTTAACTTTGAGGAAAGAGAAAAAAGTGTTAAGCAGCTAAATTTCTCTAATGAAAATGTGGCTTTGATCTAGCGTTTCCTTGTAATTATTAAAGCAGTCGCTTCATTAAGATGAAGGGCAAAGGATACACGATAATGTTTCAGATTTCGCTTGTTTGACAAATGCTAAATTAAAAAGGAGAGGTGGAAGCAAATTACAGAAGGGGAAATGAAAATTACTTTCTGGGACGAAAACAATCGTTACGGGAAATAAAAATTTTACTTGCAAGATACCAAAAAAAGGAGATACAACAAATATAAAAATTCATCAAAGATGGAGGAAGTTTACAGCTAAATTTAAATTCCTTTAATTGAATTTTAAAATTGTTACGTACAGTTTAAGCAAACCTTTTTAAGGGGTAACTTACCGAGAATATTTTTTTCAAGTCTAATTAATAAACTAAAAATATATCGGTAATAAAATTAATCTATGAATGGAATACTAGGAGGTCTGGGTGGTAATGAAAAAAATTGCTTCCTGATGAAAAATCGTGTTCTCTCACTCTCTCGAGAGTGTGATTTACTTTTATTCTCGTACGTTCTTTGATATAGGGACTAATTAAATAACGGTTTAGTGGATAAAATTAGTAAACGATTGTATAGAGAAAGAGTGAGAGGGAGTTGTCGGGTGTGAATTTTTTTAAAATTACGAACAGCGAATTTTATCGAAGAATTGTCCAGGTCGCGTTGAAATAATGTATCCCTAGGTTTATGTTTAGCGACGTCGACGGTCAAAGTGAAGAAAGTGAGGGGCTAATGAAAGCTACGAGGCGTGTACACACTTGTGACCTCCATGTACCCCACATTCACAGACACATGGACATACACTTTAACCCTTTTCTTCTCTCACACTTTCATGTACACATATATAAAAATATATATACACGAAACATTAACACATTATTAGGTTCGTAAACGAGTCGCGTTTCCGCGCAAACCCTTTAGCACAGACGCATCTATTGTTTACTCTTCGTTAGTGTGCAACTTTCTACCCATAAATAGGCATACAGTTTGCTCACTTTTATACTTTTAGTAAAGAACCCAAAGCTTTTATATGACACGAATTTTTTTTTTAAAGGGCGTATGAGGAAAAGGCGCGTCCATTTGGTTAGGAGAGAAAAAAAATCCTACCATCTTGCTTTTTTTTTATATTTGTTTTAAATTCTTAAGAAGAAGAAGAATGTAAAAAATAGTTATAATAAAAGATATGTCGTCGTCACTCTTCGAAAAGTTGACCTGGTTTTTGTCAAGTGAATTGGGGCTTCGTTGGCAAATTTACATTATTCAAAACACTCTTAAATAATTCCACTATTTCAAGTTCTTTGCAATTTTATTATTTACCGACATTCCGTTTCAGAATTTTTTACTCGACAAAATGTGCGGCGAGAAAAACTTTTTTTTATCGTATTTGTCCAGCGAGTGATTGTAATGGGACTTTGGAAGTTGAGGGATTACTCCCACCATTTCAGTGGGAAAAGTGCGAGAGAAAAAAAGGGTAAATTTGAATTTAAATACACAATTCAAATAATTTTAATATTTAATTATACTTATACTTTCATCGAATTTTTGAAAGAGGAAATTTCTTATTTAAATATATTTGAATGCTATTAAAAAGTATTTTTAGAATTTTGAATTTCCGCGGCAAAGAATGCTAGCGAGTGGCGCAGAGGGAAGTCCTAAGTCGCATGGGAGTCTTACTAAAGACAACTTGATCTAACCTTCAAATTACAAATTTACCCGAAAATAATTATTCCCTTGATCCTTTTATTTTCTCCACTTTATCAAAAAGGCTTGCTTAAACTGTACGTAACAATTCAGAAATTCAAAAACGAAAATAATTCGTTCTCCAAAAGGTATCTACTTTAGAAATTCTTTAGAAATCGTATTAACAAATCAAAAAACAATTTTTTAAACTACTTGAAATAAAAGTATCAGTAAGATAATATAAACTAAAAGTCTTATTTGTATACACCGTTCCAAATAATAAAACCGTTTGTTCTTATTTTCCGACCCAAATAATATTTCTCGCGAAAGAAAATAATTAACGAGAAAATCGTCTAACGCGACACTTTAAAGAAATCATTTTTAAAAGCTATTGAAAAACTGGGTTTTACAATCATTATTTATTAATAAAATTAAAAAAAGCTCGAGTATCGTAAAAATAAATCTCTCCGCTATATTTCCAAATTTAAGAGAAGAAAAAAATTGAGTCACATTTCCATAATTTTCAACAGATGAATAATTAACTAACCTGCAATTAAGCCATGCTATTTATAAATGCTGTTATAGTGTTTATTTTTTTATATTATAATATTGCGAGTATACGTTTTGGAGATAATTTTTAAATCTTGTTTAGAATATCAAAAGAATTTATATTTCTCACGAGATATAAAAGAGCAAGGGAAAGGTTAGAAATTAAAGCAAAATGTTTCAAAGGTAGGCGAATTTACTTTCAACGAATACATTTACGTATGAAAGAAGCGGACACAATTTCTCTTAGCTTTTTTTCTCATACATTTTTATTTTCTTCTCGTCCTCAGATCCTTAAAAAATCCCCCTACGAAGTAAATAAGCATTTCCGCAATTGCACTCGGGAAAATTTTTAATAGACTTTAAATTCTTTTTTTAAAACATTTTTCGAAATTGAAAAATTTTTAAATTGAAAGAAAAAATTATTTATTTAAAAATAATTATAGAACCGAGTAAAGATAATATATTTTTAAATTAGTAAATTTTCATCATCTCATTTACTCACCAAAAAATGTAGTAAAAACGAAGAGGAGTTTTTTCTTGCGAAATTCAGAGAGCGGCATTTTTAATCTGCAACAGAAAAAAAATATCAAATATAACTGTAAATTAGTTTAATTAAAATTCAAAGAGATGAAAAATAAAAGTTATGAGGATAAACGATATTTGAAAATTTTTTTCGTTTGAAGAATTCAACACTAATTTTCTTATTTTGTAGGTAAAAAAAGAGAAGAAGCTGCTTTGAGAAAAATTTTATCAAAGTGAATAGTTATAAAAGATTTTTTTTTTCATACCGGCATAGCATTTTTATATTGAGTCCATTGTAATTCCTTTTTTTCAATTGAATGCCCAAGGAATTTTAATAAATAAAATTTTAATAAAAGAAATTGTTTAAAAAAAAAATTGCTTCACAACATTCGTTTTCTTGAAATGCTTTCAGAAATTTAAAAAGAACCTCCCAGGAATTTTTAGCGTTTCATGTAATATTAAAATTTTGATGCAATATTAAAATCTCTTTTATTAGGATTCATTTTTTAATCATCATTCAAAGTTTGAATCTCAGGAATGGATACATAATCTGATTTGTATGTTTTGTAAATTTACACTGGGAAATAAATCTCGGAATTTATCTCCTGGGATCAGAATCCCTGAGGATCAATTTTTTTTATCTCGAATGAATTTATTCCTGTGGGATTCAATTGTAATTGTGGTTTTTGAGGGAAGAATTTTTTTTAATTACGTCAGGTCTGTGTAATAGAAACTGTACATTTTTTATTTTTGCAGCAAAATGTTTAGTTTTTTTAAAAATTAAATTAAAAAGAAATTTCTAATGCAATGGCGATATTTTGAAGTCTTTTATTTAGCAAAAAGAGGTTAATTAGCGATTTCACCTCGATATTTCCGGAAGGTAAGCGCTGCCAAAGGAGATTTAAATTCACTGCTTTATTGTTTGTCGATAATGTAGATTTCATGCTCTAGAAAAAATGTTACATTGCCAAGTGGTAACATAACCTAAAATTTTTTCCAGAAGATTGTCGAAAGCCAGAAACAGTTCAAGGAGATGCAGTTCAGTTTAGTGCGATCAAGTGTTTGTAATCAGTTTCTGTATTTGACAGCAGGCCAAAAAGGACCATTTGGCAGTATTATGTTACAATTTATTCGGGTATAAGTACAGCGCATTATAACAATAACGAACCATTACAACGGAGTGTACCGAACAGGGTAATAAAAGTTTATGATAAGATCATCCTCTACCTGTATTGGTGACTAATAAGGATTCTAATCATTATTACACTTTACACTTGCCAGAAACAGTAACTATTTCGCAAAAGGCAATATCTCAACGTTTTTTAAAAAGTCTTGTTTAAACTGGACGTAACAATTATTTACAACTTAAAGTAACCTATTCTTAAATTGTACTGAAGATGTTTTCTCAAAAATTAGAAAATTAAATTTCTGAACTCTCAGAAGAGAAATTGTTCTTGTTTAAGTTAAACGTAACAAAGATTGCAAATTCCCCTAAGAGGATTTTTAAAATTCTTTTTTGTTTCCTTCAGTAAATTAGCAATCTCGTCATTAATAATCTATCATCGTAAATATAAAGTTAATTAATAAACTAAAAATATCCATTAATTGGGTAAATTAATTTTTTCCACTTTTTTAAAATACCGAGATTTTAAGAAAACAATTACACGAATCACGTGTTTCATAAGAAATCACTACCTAAAGCGTGCTGGATGCTTCAAGGTTAATCTTGACGTCAGTATGCAAAGACCACAGTTTGTACAATAATCTTTTAATAGTTAATTTCAAATTTTCAATCAGAAGAAAAAAGGAAGATTCTCAATTAATTACTTTTTCATAAAAAAAAACCATTTCATCCTCAATACCTTAGTTCCAAATTCTAATAGTATTTAATTAAAACTTCAATATTCATCTCAACATAAAATTAACTAAAGAAGTAATTAAATTTATTAATGTATTATTTATTAAATTAAATGACTAGAAGTTATACAGAAATTCAGACTTTATCTTTTATTAACAAACTTTCTATTGAAAAAAATATTTATCTTTAAAAAAAAATTTACCGAAACACAAAAGGGGAAAAAATTAATAAATCAGATTATATTCATTCACTAGCTTCACGGATAAGCATATTATAGAAACGTAAAAAATTTAAATATCCGACGAAAAGCGAGGTGTATATAAAACTCGAGGAAATCATGAATATGATACAAACTGTCTGGAGATTTCGAGTTCCTCTTTTTTTTGCAATTTATAATTAAAATCACTGTGCGCATTAGTTTTTTTCTTCCTCTGAATAGTGTACATGAATAAAATAAAAAATTGATTTCACGTTCTGAAAACTCACAATATATTCAATTTTTTTCCTCGCGTCTAAAAGAACGGATGTGATGCTGCTTTTCATAATATTTCTTACTTTTCTTACCAACAAGAAAGATGGAATAAAACAAGAAAATTTAAGACCTATAAACAAGTTTGGAGAAAATGTTTTTTTTATTTAAAAATATATTTCTAATAAATACAAAATATTGAAATAGAAAGAAAATTATTATTTAGTTAAAAAATTATATAAATAAAAAAAACTTCTTTTTTTTGTAAAATTGAAATAAAAATTCTTTAGTCATATATATAGTAGTGGAAGTATAGTTGAAATAAAAGTAAATCTGAATTTCCTAAGGGATGGCAAAATTCTGAAGATCTAATCTCGTTAAGAAAAGAACAGCGGGACATTATAATTTCGTGGGGATAATGTAATGGGAGGGGGGGATTTAATCTTCAGTGACACGAGAACTTCTTGATTAAATTTTTAGAATGCGAAAAAAAATTATTTAAATCAAATGTAAACTTTCGTTGAAATTGAAATCGTTTTCTACTTTTCGAATATTTGGTAAAGTAAAGTAATTGTTTCCTCTTCATTATATCTTTTTTTAAAAAAACTTATATTTTTAAAAAATTTTATTTTCACAAATTCAATTTTTTTGTTTACAATACAAAATTCATAACTAAATGTTATAAAATTTACTGCTACTTTGGAAAATTATTATTCGAAAATAAAAGTCAAAGGAAAAAATTTTTTGTTTATTAAGAGGAAGGACGTTGACAAAGGTCGGAGATTTTTGCAAGGTAGAAAAATTGCCGACAATCGTAATATATTGAGAGGATAATTTAGGATTAGGATCTTTAGTATATGGCGATTTTTTTGCTCACATCCAATTTCTTGGAATGAACGGATGATCATTACCCCGGGCCCTCAACAATAATGCGTAAAAATAAAAGTCTCTTCCGAGAGGTTATATAGCGGAATAGGCTGTAGAGCGTAAGGTACAAATGCAAAGGCAAATGGTCACTGGGGTACAATAAAAGATCCATCTGTGAAATGTTTCATTCGGCAGAGAAAAATAAAAAAAACGACACCATTCAGGCGATTTCGATTTTTTTCTCTTCTTTTTTTTTGCTCCAGAGATTGAAGCACAACGTCTCGAGAAAGAGAAAAAAATCTATGAAAATCTCTGAATGATTTTAAATGAAAAAGTCTTGTTTAAACTGGACGTAACAATTATCCAACAGGAAAATAATTATTCTATTATTTTTTAAAATTTTCAAATTTTTTAAAACTGTTTTTTATTTTAAATAATAATGGTCCACTAAACTGTGTCAGGGTTGCCACAAAATTAAAATTTTTTCCCTTACTTTTCTATTACATTTCTTTACTTTAAATACTTTAATTGTAAAATTATTCAAAACGTCATTTCAATTATTTCTTTTTTAAATAAATATTTGTGGACGTCCACATGAAAAGGGCCCATATTGTCGGTTCTAGTTTTCGAGATAATCGCAATTTAGTAATTTTTGAGCAAATTCTTAATTTTTTTTTTATTTTTTATTATCAATCTACATGTTTTGACAAATCGAATCATGCGGTTTTCATTAATTTATCGATACTTTAACTGTTTGATTTCATTGGTTCTTTAGAAAAATGAAAAGGGCCCATTTTGTCGGTCATTTGCAAAAGTAATCCGTATTTTAAAAATGGAGGTATAGAAAAATTTAAAACTTATTGGTTTTTTATCTTTTAGGTACCCTGGACTGTAAACAATTCTTATCTAAATAACTTCCTAGAAGAACCAAAGATATTGATGTTAGAGTCTTTTTTTTGTTATTTTCGAAATGAAAATTTGGATATTGCGTCAATTTTTTCATAATAGAGACTGTCAAAAATTTTTAAATAAGTTTAATATCTATTCTTTTTCTTCAAATGACACAATAAAATTGTACCTAATCATTTATCTTGTGAAAAAATGGTTTTTTAATAGAAAAACTGTCCTTTTTAGAAAAGGGCCCATATTGTCGGTTTTTAAATTAATTAATTAATTAAGGGGAGGGGGTGGTTCTAAAAATTTAAAACCTGTTGGTTTTTTATCTTCAAGGTGCCCTGAACTAGAAACAATTCTTATCTGAATAACTTCCAAGAAGAACCAGAGATACAACAATTAGTTGGTATCGCAATCTTTAATTCCGTTTTTCTCGAAATGAGGTTTTTGGCGTTCTAAACTTTGAAATTCCGTAACTCAGCGAATTTTCAACCAAAAAAGTTCTAAGACCACTCAAAATTCTCCAAATTTTGCCAGGAATACGCCCATATAGATAACTCCAATAGTGCCAAAATGGGCCCTTTTCATGTGGACGTCCACATTTAATCATTATTATTTTTCTATATAGGAATTAAGATTTTCAAATTCAAACCTTCCGAAATTTAATAACTTATAAGAATATTATTATAAAACATGAAGAGATCGATTCCTTCATGATTTATAATAAATTTAAAAATAACAAAGTGATAAAATCATTATTTTATATCGTAAGAATATTGTAACTAAAAATTCAAATTTTCAAAGATTTTAAATTGAACACTTTTTAAAATTCAATTATTTCTAAAAGTTCACGCTATAATGCTTATAATTTTCAATTATAATTTAAAATTTTTAGCGAAATTAGTTTTTTATTCAATTGTTATTAAAAGATTTTTTGAGAATTCAATTATTT